CTTTTTTTGGTGGTTATTTTTGTAGATTATATCATTAATATCCATTATTTATAGATTTTACTAGTTTAATTTTCATAAAGTACTCTCATTTTTAGGTTCTTAGATTTTAATTTAACTTTGTTTCTGCATATTAACGAAGATTAGACTTTTGCTTTTAAAATTTTTAACACTCAGAAGTATTCAGTGCTATTGCGCCATGTTTGTAACCTTTATTAGAGTATACAGCCAAAATACTACTGAAGGCATGAATTCATGTTCTGGCTTCTGTGCTTATGAATCAGATCTTAACTATTTCTTTGACTTTGGGTTTGTGGTTTCTTGAATTAATTTAGGTGATGTAAAAGATGACTCTTACTAGGTGTGTCCTCTCCTTTTTAAAAGTATGTTTGATGTTTTATTAGAGACAGGTTTCTCCAAGGAAACTTTTCTCTGCAGTCTCACACTCCTCATCTACTTAGGAATGAAAGCCCAGCTATATGTACTGATTCCTACATGTTTTATTTTTAAACTCTTATTCATGTGTGGGTTGTTTTTTATTTTACTTATTTAAAAAATATTCCCAGACTTCTTTAAGTACCCTCTTTTCTGACTCAGTTTTCTGTTAATTACTAGACATTTTCCTTTAGGCTGCTTTCCACTCACTTCGGAGTTGTGACTGTTTGCTCTTCTATTGGTTCCTTCTGGCCACTGGAGTGTGTGAGTAAATGACACAAGCATGTGGTGTTGCCTGTCAGAGAGTGGAATTCTAAGACTTCCTCTCTCCATAGAGCAGCTTAACTTTTGTGCTTCTGGGCAGAAGTATGGTCCTTGGGACAGCCTTGCTTCCATCTAATAGTTATGGCCAAGATCAGGACATGTCGCTTTGCTGCCTGTGTAGTGAGGCCTCAGAATCAGCTCTACCCAACTTGACAGGTATGGTTCAGAGTTGATAGTTTGGGGAGCATAGATAACCATAACAATCAGATGTGAATGGAAATTTCAAAAAATTAACCTACTGCTGTTGTCTTCATTGCTGATCAGTGAGGGTTCATGTGCTTTTTTCCCTCTGGTGTTTCAGAATAAATACTTGTAGAATAAATGAATAGTATGTAATAATTTTATGATATTAAGATACATATAGCTTGATATGAAGAACTTAAGCTATACTGAGAATTGTTGAATAATTTGTCCAACTACTTTTACATGGTTTTTAAAAGATGTGTTAAGACTGACTAGTTTCTTAAATAATATAGTCAGATAAAGTAGAATTCTAGCAAGCTGTTTATAATTGAGAATGCCTAAACTGAAAATTTTGTATATTAATTTCTCCCTGACATTTTAACTGATAAAAATTATTAAATAACTAATTGGTGAAAAGTGTTTTTAATAAAATTAAATATTAAGTTTAATAATTTCTGAATTTGAATTTGAGTTTTTATTACTCTGGATTTTAACTTTTTTAATCTTGGTAATTTACTTCTCACAGGCTGTTGTTTCTGGATGTTTTGCCTTTTTTTCCTGTTCTATTTAGTATTATCAGTAGAAAAAAAAATTACGTTTTCTTGATAATCATAACGTATTTCTGCTACCTGGGCCCTAGACACCATTAAGTGAAAATCAGAGTCTTCTATTGGCTCATTTTAAGTCTATGATTTGCCTCTGTAGTGGTAATTAATAAGATTAATTTACTTGCTCTCTCAGGTACCTAATATGTAGTAGTAACATCACATTGTTCAAAAATAATCCAGCCTATACCCTTGCGTTCAGGCAGGCATGGTACATGTGAATCATCCAGATGTGTCTGTCTTAAGCCTGTGAGGAAAATGTCTTGGGCACTGGGTAACACTGAGATATTTTCTTTGCTCTTCCCATAGGCTTTTCTCTCGTTATCTCTTATTCCTTAGCTTTGTCTTCCCCATTCAGTTAACTCTTTATGATGTAATATATGTTCATTCTTGCCCTGGGTCCGGGGGAGGGTGTTGGGAGTTTTTTTCTTTGGGAAGAAAAAAAAAATTCCTTTTGTTTGGTACTGGTGGGAAGAATGGTGTTTAAGTGGATATCCTGTGCAGACTGATTGTACAGGAAATTGACCTTTCGTAGTATGAAAACAAAGCAGAGAGTGGGAAGAAGGAAGGAAGGAAATAAGATGTTTTGACTTGACCAAAAAGACCATGAAACCAGAGATGGGAAGAAGGGGAATGGGGAATAAAAAGGATTATTTTCCAGCTAGTGGTTGTTTAGTACCTTGGCCTCAAATGACTATCCTGTATTTATTATTTTATATATTTGAGAAATACATAGTATTGTTTGGACTGTGGATATTTTCTAAATTTACATAAAATTAGACTGTAGGTCTCATTCTGTTTTTTCTGATAACATGATTTTTAAGAAGCTGACTTTCCTTTAGGCTTGATGGAGTTCCTCCCCAGTACAGATGAAGAACATATTGTAGCTGTGTCCTTGTACACTGACAGTCTGTCACTCTACTGCCGTCAGCACAGAATTCCTGCTTATTTTAATTTAATGCCTTCTCTTCTCTGAAACCTTGGCTGACTCCAGAGTTTTATGTTTTCTCACAGCAGCCTTCCATGGGCATTATCAATAGGCATATATATTCATATGGATAGCAGTGGGCATTCATTCATTCAACAAATCTTTGACAGCCTCTTATATACACAGGCACTGTGCTGGCTGCTTGAGATTTATCAGTGAACAAAACAGACAAAAATCCCCGTCCTTATAACATTTACATTGTAGTGGAGGGAGTTAGATAATATACATGAATATAATAAGTATATGTATGATGGTAATAAAGCTATGGAGAGCAATAAAGCATGAAAGGGAATGTGGGGAATGTTAGAATGTTGTTAGGAATAAATGCATTTTAAAATGGGATAGTCAGGGAATACCGTACCTAGAGGGTAACATTTGAGTGAGATGTCATGCAGCTGTCTTGGGGAAGAGTGTTTTAGGCAGAAGGAAAAGTTAGTTCAAATGTCCTGAGACAGAAGTGTACTTGGCATGTTCTAGCAACAGCCAGGAAGTCAGTGGCCGGGATAAGTTACGCTAGGGGAAGAGTAGTGGGAGACAAATTAGACGAGACAGATTGTGTACAGCCTTGTAGGTCCTTGTGAGAACTTTAGCTTTTACTCTGAGTAAGATGGGGAGCCATTGAACAGTTTTGAGCAGAGGAATAATACAATCTGACTTACACTTTAAAAGTTAGCTTCTGTGTTGAGAGTAGGCAATAGGGAACAAGGATAGAATCCTGGACATCAGTTAGGAGTCTAGTGAAATAATCTAGGTGAGAGGTGATGGTGGTTGACGGGGTGGTTGTAGTGGAGAGAGTGAGAAATGGATGGATTCCTGATATATTTTTGAAAGCAGTGCCGATAGAATTTCTTGGTGTGGGATATGAGAGCAAGAAAGGAGTCATGAATGACTCCAAGGTTTTTGGCCTGAGGGCTTGAAAAGATGGAGTACCATTAACTGAGACAGGGAGTTCTGTTGGGGAGTAGTTTTGCATATTAAGTTCAAATAGTGTCAATAGTTTATAATTTTTATAGTCTGAAGCCCAGCACAGTATCTAGCATATAGTAGATGTTCATTCAAATTATTAGCCTTAAACTTTAACATACTAGGACTTACAAAGATAAATGCATGGCATTTGCTTTTTTTGCTCTGATAGGGTTTAAGAGTTGGCTTCAGTGTTTGCTTACTGTAATCTCCAAATTGGTCATTGATGGTACAAAAAAAGTTCTTGTTATCCTTAAGTTTTTGTTCCCCTTAAAATTTCAGACAAGGAGGACTTTCCCCTATCTAAAAGGGATGAAATATACTTGACCCTTTTGATAATTGTTAAACAGAGTAATAATCATAAAACATTGTAATGCGCGACCACTGTCACTGACCATAATCGTTTATCAGTGTGGATCATGTGGTGTTCAGTGTAGAATTAACAGGTATTATGGATAGTCATTGTACTTCTTTTTGGCAATTGTTTCATTTTACTAAGGGATAGACATTTTGCAGCCCAATGGAAATTCTGCTAGAATAATTTTTTATTAGAATAAAGAAAAATATAGTACTTGTGACCAGTTTGAAGAATATTTCATATAAAATACACATGGTGTTTAGTTTGTTTGGTAATCCTGAATTGGTTATCTTTTTACTATAATACAGCTGTTCCCATTCACTATAACTGCATTTAACAAGGAACAACATGATACCTGTTTTAAATTAACTTTTCAGGACATCTGGACATATCTTTCAGATTTGTCATTCTTAATGTAAAACAAAATTTAATTAACTGTAAAATTTTAAAGAGGGATTCCTTTTAAGAGCAGGAAGGAATGTGATGAAGTGAAACAAACTGTTGGGAGAAATCACAGACCAACTCACAACAGGAGTTTCTATATCATGTGAAGGGTTACAAATCCATTTTTTTAAAACATAAGTTAATGTAATCTTTAAGGTTAAAACACATCTCATTTTTTCCTGTCTCATATTTTTGTGTAACTTGGTCATTCATTTAGCCAACAGTTATTGAATACATATCATGTAACTTGAGATAGGAAAAAAAGAGTTCTTACTCACAAGGAACATACTATGAAGTTTGGTAAACAAATATTAATAGAGGCTATTATAAAGATAGAGGATATTAATGTGGCAGGTGTAATGCTTTTGAGAGAAAGAGAGGAGCATGTGAAGCTTCCTAGAGGAGGTTATATTAGAGCTGAGTGTCATGAGTAGAAGTTAGACGATCAAGCCAGTCGAAAGACGAATAGGGTAAGAACCCACTGCAGGTAGACAGGACTGTGTGAACAAAGGCAAAAGCTGGGAAGCAGCATGGTGTATGTTAAAATTTAAAATTTGAGGTGTGAAGTAGGGAGAGGTGAAGCTAGAGAAGTGGGTGGAGATCTGATCGTGAAAGGCCTTGAAGGTCATGTGAAGGAGTTTTTAGCTTGATGGAACTAAGAGTCTTAAGAAGTGTGACGTGGTCAAATTTTTGTTTTAAATAGATCACTTTGCCAGCTGTGTGGAGGATGGATTTGAGGGAGACAAGACTGGAGGCAGTAGTCCAGGTGAGAGATGATGGGGCACTAAGGCATTGCCAATAGGGATGGAGAGGAGGGGATGGATTTGAAAAGAAGTAAAACCACGGATTTAAGGGCTTTTTTCCTTCAAATATGCTAACACCAATTTTAAATTAAATAAGTGGAGGGAGGGAGAGAGAGAATAGAGAAGTTATCATTATATGACACAGGCATTTGGATAGTTTGCCTTGGCAAAAAAACTACAAAAAGCAGTCCCAATGATCAAGAAAATCACTAGTGAAAGAACTGTGTTTTTTGTATAATGGGCCTGGGCAGTGAGAAATAGGTGATCTTTAAGACAGTATGGGGATGACCTGTTTGTGTAATATGAATAAATTTGGGAAGTGTAAATCCTTGAGGAAGAAGAAACCAGGTCTTACAAGGCTTTAACCCCACTGCACATGACAGAACTCAATAAATGTCCATTGATGGTGATATTTTCTGGAACCTTCAATTTAGTTGTTGATCTTTTACCAAAAATCTACTGCCCAGGAAAATAAAATAGGTAAAAAAAAATTTGCCATTAAGGCAATTGCAAGCTATGATATTACAGACTGTGCATGGTAACATAAAGGTATTTTGGCATGCCAAGAATATATTAAGCCAATAACATTTATTTCTATTTTTTAGCAGATAATTTTTTAGGAATTTTATTTTAGAAACACTTTTCTGTAGTTTTTTTCCATATGTAAGTAGAGGGTCTAGATTTACATAATATGTACCTGTTTCTAGAAAACAATCTTTGTTGTTTTCTCTACATTTGCTTTATATGGAGAGAGTAAGGAAAGAAGAGTGATTTGGGAGAACTTATAAAGGAAAACCTTTCCTTCTTTAAATACAGAATATATATTTTAACAAAATATCCTGTGTTTTATAAAGCTATTAGCCATTTCTTTGTGGAATTTTTTTTTTTTCATTTTTAGAAAACTGTGCTTTTTCCTACTCACTAATTTCTGATTTCGATAAATGCATATAAATCAGGGCTAAACTCTCATTTGGTGTTCTTTCTCTGTCTGTTATATTTTTACCGTGTAGACTGCTTCCTCATGCTTAGGATGGAAAATGGTAAGATGACTTTGCCTATTTGCTCATTCTTCATGACTCCGCAAGCATATAGTTCTGTCTTACCCTGGAGCTGTCAGTATGTGCCAGCAGCTAAAATTCTGTGTATGTTTTGAATTCAAAGTGAATTTTCAAGTGCTGAACCTACTGTGAATTCCTTTCCCTTTTTGTCTTTCAGAAGCCTTGCACCGCCCCTATGGTTGTGATGTTGAATCCCAGGCTCTAAACGAAGCCATCAGGTGGAGCTCCAAGGAGAACTTGCTCGGAGCCACCGAGAGTGACCCTAATCTCTTTGTTGCACTTTATGATTTTGTAGCAAGTGGCGATAACACACTCAGCATTACTAAAGGTGAGGCTTCTATGTAACATCCTCTCACTTTTGAGTTTTCATTAGTGGCCAAGAAATACAGGGTTTATCAGTCCTGGATTCTGCCACCAACTAAAATTAGCTAGGTGATTTGGACCCACACACTTTTGGTTCATTGTCTTTTTTCACATGTGTATGGGATGAAACCACTTTTGTCTACTTTATAGAGTTTAAGGATAAAATGAGATAAAGTACCTTAGAAAAAACACCACACGAGGTATACATAAACTTTACTCAGTCTCAGAATTCTGTATTAGATGTAATATGCCAGCACTCATCTACCACACAGGTAAGACTTAGTATATATCTGAATTTTAATTGAACTGTGACTAAGATGAGTCATGTCAGACGCCAGTGCTACTCAAAGTGTTGTCAGTGGACTGACTGCTTTTCAGAATTGTTAACCAGTTTGCAATGAGATTAAGAGCTTGTGTCCAAAATGTAAACCACCTACATCTCTAAGCACAATATTTATATTTAGTTCAGCTCACATTCTTTTTTGGAGCAAGGCTTTCTACGTGAAGAAGAAAGTAGTGCAGTGATTCACTTTCTGGTGCAAATTTCTTATCTTCTTGTGGTCCAACTTCGAGTAGCAATGGCCTAGACAACTTAAGTGTTTATCATTCATGTTTATATGGGTGAGTCAGAGGAATAGTAGAGGGAGTTTCTGTTGTAGGACACTCTCATGAGATTAGTTTTTTATTTCAGTGGTAAAGGTAAAACGGAACACTAAGAACATGACCAAGTAAAATCACCCATCCTTAGTTTTTTGAACAAGGACCAAAAAAAAAAAAAAAAGGAAGCTTTTATGGGAGAGAAATAGGAGTATGGGGACATCCTCATTGTGTACATGAATTGGATTAATCGGCTAAGCTTATTCTTTCCTTCTCAACCTTTGAAAGCCTTCTACTGGGAAAAAAAAGTATTTAGTTAAAAATTATCCTGAAATACAACTGTAACTTAAAGGATTATTTGTCGAACAAATGTCTTTTATTAAGGTTCTGAGTGAGGTATTAAATGTGAGTGGATATACCAAATTAAGAAGACAGGCCTCTGCTGGAGGAATGTTAAACTTACATAAAATTTTTATATTCACTGATTTTTTTTTTTTTTAATCCAGCCAAATTCATCAAAAGCAGAAATCCTTAAAACTATATTTCTTAAGCTGGGGTATAGATGTGCCCCAGAGTGGGTGCAATCGCATGTATGCATGTGCTAGAAGTTTTCAAAGGCATAGGGAAAACAAAGTGCATTATCTCATAGTGTCAGCTTTACTTAACGATTTCAGATATTTTGGGGGGTGGGGTGTTGATGGTATGTGTATGGGAATATGTTTATGGAGTTTGAAGGAAAAATTTACATTAAGTTTTAGGATAAAACAAAGAACCTCAAAGAAATCTTATACTGTGTGATAGTTTCTTTGGGCTACAGCATACTTTTTTACCTTTAATGGTACATCAGTGGAGAAATTTGTGAAGCGATGACTCAGAACATTCTTTTCTAGGTATAATTTTCTTGTCAGTGTTTTCCAGGATAGCTCAGTCACCAAGGAAATATTGATAAAGAAAGTCTGTTGATGCCTCGGTTTCTAGTTATAGCAAACACTAGTATGCAGCTTAAGGAGTAGGATTCCCTTCATCTTAACGGTCAACAGTGGTTTCTCTTAAAACTCCTGAAATGCCAGCTCTTTAAATCAGGTTCTTATTAATATAAAATGATGTCTTGTTAAAGCTATTTTATTATTTTAAAAGACAGTAAGTATATTTTAAAAATAAAATAACAGTATTTAGTTCCTTCTTTGAAGGTGTTATTTTGCTTGAATTAAAAGAAAAGTTTTCCCCGAGCTTCCTCTGCTGGTAGGGCCAATGTTTGTATCCCTACTAGTCATACCCCTGTCAATTTCCATGGTACTCAGAACTTCCAGAGAAGAGATTTCTCCTTGTAACTGCCAAAAAGAGAGGAAACAAAAAAAAAAAAACAAGGGTGTCTGTATCCTAATTACGATGGCCTGTCATTACCAATTCTTTGTAAGGAAGCAAAATATAGGACTTAATTTTTACTTCTAATCATTGTAGACTAAGAGAAAAGCTACAGAGCAACATTGATTTCTTCAGCTTTTCCAGCAGCACTGTTAAGATTCTTTATTTTTCCTGTATATATGGCTGGGGAGTGTTTATATACTTGCACACATCTACCACCATACCACATATACTCCTATGTGCATGTGTATGCGTATTTGCATCTATATGTGTGTATGTGTGTATAAACTTGTATTTTTTTCCCCATTGAATGTCTGGATTCAGATTAAAAAAAAAACCTGTTGCCGTCGAGTTGATTCCGACTCATAGTGATCCTATAGGACAGAGTAGAACTGCCTCCATAGAATTTCCAAGGAGCAGCTGGAGGATTCCAACTGCCGACCTTTTGATTAGCAGCTGATCTCTTAACCACTGTGCCACCAGGGTCCGGAGTCAGATAGTAGGGGCTAATAGAGAGTTTTCCTATGGTAAACATTTCAGTAGGCTACCAAAAAGTTAGATGGCTGCCAGAGTAATGATTTTGAGTTTTTCCTCAATAGACTTTGCCTCATAACTATTGGGCCACGTGCTTTTCATTAATTTGGTTTCCTTCTGCTTTCTCACACTGAGGAAGTGGGTGTAAACTCTATAGTAAGGCTTGCATTTCTCAGAGACAGGGGCCTAAGTCACTAGAAGGATTCTTTTGGTTATCAGTTATTACTAACAGATGTCTCTTCCACCTTCCCTGTTTTGCCAAAGAGCTTCTAATCTATGCTGCAAGTCGAAGGGCAAGGTGTATGTTGTAGGAGTCTAAACTTAATGTTCATAACTTTAATAGAGAAATCAAGGACATTGACGTTAATAGCAAGATACTCAGAGTAACTTAGGTCTTAAGTTCCAATTTCAGAGTCAGCCTCCTTTTCCACACACTAATTTTAGAGGAGTGGATAAGAGTGATTCATTCTTCATGGGAGAATTGGAGGGAAATTAGAGAAGTACAACTATTTTAAAACTTGACTCCTGGAAAAGATTGTGCTTTGGGAGTCCTCGTTGTCCACACCCTGACCCCTGAAAACACTGTGTAAAGCTCTGTGGCCTGTGTTTTTTGTTTTTTGCCTTTTTTATTTTTTATATTGACATTTTTGTTGTATTGGTGCCAAGTGAAATTTAAAAGTAACTTCTAATTCTGCTTGCCTTATCCCTAATCCTTGATTGTCATTAGCATTGAACCACATGTACTATACATTCCTTGATAAACTTTGAGGAAAAAATGAGTTTATTTTTCTTTTGAAGGGTGAGCAATTTGCCACTTTCCAGCCATTTAAGTAAATTTTCTGTGTAGGCCACCTTACTACCACACATAGGAGTTTTGTTTTGTTACGTGGCCTAAAAAAAAAAAAAACCTAAAAACCTGTAGTAAATGCCAAAAAACCATTTCTGACTATGCCCATGTAATTTAAGCTACAAGCTAAAGAGATCAGTGAGGATATCAGCCTAGTTTGTTTTCATCATTTAGGGAAAAATTTTTTTTTTCTGTATAGAAGTACCTGATTCATTTTTCAACAAGTTTTAAGTGTGATAGTAGACTGCTTCTGTTTGAAATAAAGTGTTAACATCCTTTCTTTCATTCTGTGATGACCTCATGACTAGGTGAAAAGCTACGAGTCCTTGGTTACAACCAGAATGGTGAGTGGAGTGAAGTTCGCTCTAAGAATGGACAGGGTTGGGTGCCAAGCAACTACATCACCCCAGTGAATAGCCTGGAAAAACATTCCTGGTACCACGGACCTGTGTCCCGCAGTGCAGCGGAGTATCTACTGAGCAGTCTAATCAATGGCAGTTTCCTGGTGCGAGAAAGTGAGAGCAGCCCTGGGCAGCTCTCTATCTCGCTCAGGTATGAGGGGCGTGTGTATCACTACAGGATCAATACCACCACAGACGGCAAGGTAAGACTTACCAGTAACCACTTCTAGATGTGGACTGGATGCTCTGTAGAAACAATACTCAGAGTAACTAAGTGAAATATGTAGTGTTTATATCTCACATGAAATATTCTCTAACTTTGTGGGTTTGGGCTATTTGGCATGTTAGAGAGAGTTTGCTCTTTTCAGAAGAATATGGTAATTAAATTAAAAACCTTATTATAGTAATAATTTAAATAAACTCAGATTTGAAGTTGAAAAATGAAGGAAACTACTATGTAAGTTAGCTGTTTTGATCGTCAATATACAAATATATACATACATTTATTATGTCGTGTAGAATTTATAAATTAACCTTGTATGTTTGAAAATTAGAATAATCTCTGTCAAAAAGTTCAGAAAATAACAATTTAGGCTTCTAAGACTGGTGTCAGTCATTAATGTATGTTAATATAAATAGATCAATCAGTCATTTAGCAATTTATATGTTGAGAGGACCAACTAAGTTAGAATGGATGTGTTAGAATAGAACTGTTATGCAGTCATCCCTCGGTATTTGAGGGAGATTGGTTCCAGGACCACACCCCCGTACCAAAATCCACGGATGCTCAAGTCTCTAATATAAAATAGCAATAGTATTTGCATATAACCTATGTACATCCTCTCGTATACTTTAAATCATCTCTAGATTACTTATGGAGCCCTGGTGGCACAGTGGTTAAGAGCTCAGCTGCTAACCAGAAGGTTGGCAGTTTGAATCAACCAGCTGCTCCTTGGAAACCCTGTGGGGGCAATTCTGCTCTGTCCTATAGGGTCGCTATGAATCGGAATTGACATGATGCCAATGGGGAAAAAAAAAAGATTACTTATAATGCCTATTACAATGTAAATGCCATGTAAATAACTGTTATACTGTTATCCTTTAGGGAATAATGACAAGAAGAAAAAAGTCTTTTTTTCCTGAATATTTTCAGTCCTCGGTTGGTTGAATCCACAGATGTGGAACCTGCAGATTTGGAGGGCTAACTGTACTTTATAAACTGTAAAGCATGGGTTTCTGTCAGTTGTTATATTGAACGGTAAATTTAGATGGAAATCAGTCCTCCATTCTCTCCCTCTGTGTGAGAGGCATAGTAGGGGAAAAGCACAGGCTTTGGAGCAGCAGCCCTGGTTTGCTTCTTAACTCCACCACTTATTAACTTTGTTATCTTACATAAACCTCAATTTTCCTGTCTATAATTAATTCACACTTTATTGTGTTATTGTGAGGATTAAATTAAATAATTTTTATAGAACATTGTGACTGGTACGAAGTAGGAAATAAGCAAGTTGTTAGTTCTTTCTTTTTTGTACCACTATAGAGACAAAGCATATTGTCTCAACTGAACTAAATAGAATCAGATAATAATGTGAGAGAGACCCTACCACTCTACTTCTAGTTACACCCCAACAGAAATGAGTATGTACGTGTACCAGAAGACATGTACAAGAATGTTTATAATAGCATTGTTTGTTAATAGCCAAAAACTAGAAACATGCAAATGTATTAACAACTATACCCTTTGCTGTCAAAGTCAATTCTGACTCATAGCAACCCTATAGGATAGAGTAAAATTGCCCCATAGGGTTTCCAAGGAGTGGCTGGTAGAGTCCAACTGCCGACCTTTTGGTTAGCAGCTGAGCCGAGCTCTTTAACCACTGTACCACCAGGGCTCCTAATAAATTCTGGTATGTTCATAAAATGGAATCTCATACAACAACAAAAATGAACAGACTACTGCTACGTACAACACTATCAGGGCAAACCTTGGCTTGCCAATTACTTGCTTTTGTAAATAAAATTTTATTGGAACATGGCCACGTCCATTTGTTTATGTATTGTCCATGGCTGCTTTTGCATTCCAACAGCAGAGTTGAGTAGTTGAAACCGAGACCTTATGGGCCCACAAGCCTAAAATATTTACTGTCCAGCCCTTTACAGAAAAGTTTACTGACTCCTGCCATAGATGAATCACACACACATACAGCTGAGTGAAAGTGTTAGTGGTTGCCAGGGAATGGGGAGCAGGGCAATAGGGAGTGACTGCTAATGGGTATGGTGTTTCTTTTTGAGGTGATGAAAACATTCTGGAATTAGATAGTGGTGATGTTGCACAAGGAGCCCTGGTGGTGCAGTGGTTGAGCGTTGTGGTTCAGTCACTTCAATGTGAGGGCAAATTTACATAACATTAAAGAGCAAGAATGAGTTGTCCCTAAATTGGATGTTCATAACCTTGGGACTTACTGTACATAATAGCATGTTAGAAACTCTGGAAAAAGACCTGCCTTAGAAGTAGTAGTAAAATAGTCTGGACAACCATTGATTTTGTCTAGGAAAGGTGGTTTAAATAAGATTAAACTGAAGGTCTGTGTTTCCTCTTGCATAATCATTTAACTCTTTCATTTACCCCAGTAAGATAACCTCCTATCTTCATTTCTTCAGGTCAATGAAATAATATTTTTTGAAACTTCCTGACATTCTCAAGTTGTTTAGCTTTTGTCCTGCTTTTCTCACCAGGTTTATGTGACTGCTGAAAGCCGCTTTAGCACCTTGGCAGAGCTTGTTCACCATCACTCCACAGTGGCTGATGGGCTGGTGACAACATTACACTACCCAGCACCCAAGTGTAATAAGCCTACGGTGTATGGTGTGTCCCCCATCCATGACAAATGGGAAATGGAACGAACAGATATTACCATGAAGCACAAACTTGGGGGTGGTCAGTATGGAGAAGTTTACGTTGGCATCTGGAAGAAATACAGCCTTACGGTTGCTGTGAAAACACTGAAGGTGGGTTGCTGAGAATTACAGTTTTCAGGCATCTTTTTCTTTTGTGCTGAATCACTTGGAATTATCAGTGTACCCTTTAACTTTGGAACACTTTCCACCCACTGGTGCCAAGCACATCAGCAAATTGTGATGATTAACCCTAGTGCCATTGCTGACAATGCAGGGGCAGATTATTCACTGCAATGCAGTGAAACCCACATGTGGTGAAGGTTTGTCTCTGGAGGCTGTTAATGCAGATCTCAGTGGGAGGTTAGAAGCAAATTATAAGTTAGAAATGCAAACTAAACTGGTTTGCTTCCTGAGAACGACCCCCGCTTGACAGAATTCGTCCTGCATTGTCACTGAGTCATGGACTCTCCTTTTCTTGTTCTGTCCTTCAGTTCCTTGCCTCTTGCCCCCATCTCCATGCAATTAGATCACTTCTTGTTCTTACTATTCACAGAAATCTTTTTCCTAATGCCACTTTATCTCTTCTTTAAGTTATCATGGTGTCAAATTTCAGGTTTTGTCACTCACTTCATTCTCCCTGTGCCTCAGTGGTCCTGGCATATCACTTGTAAGGGCTACTCTTCAACTATGAGGAGTAGTTCTGTTTAGCAAGCATTTATTAAGCATATTCTGAGTGTGAAGCATCTGCAAGGCCCTGAAAACACATTCCTTCTTAAGGAGTTTGTGGCCTAATCAGGGAGACAAACATTCAAAGGTTGAGATATTAGGGAAATAAACTATCACAGAACCGAGTTATCCAGTCCAAGTCTCCTGTATTTCAGTTGGTTATAGGACATGATTGTTGAATTTTGCTCACTCTGCCGATTTTTACTCCAGTTCTAGTATTGGATAAATTCAAGGACATTTTTACTTCATAACATACCTTCTTAGCCAGCCTTCTGTAGAGCATACTAGGTTGTGATAAATTTTCTTGAAGTAGTATGCTGAAGTAATCAAAGAAATTCACTTTTATGTTTAAAGCTGAAGTTTCAGGATGGTGAGTTAACTCAGATGATTAAGATTGGGGTTGGTCCCTTTCCCTTATTTCTCTTACCTTCCCCCTTTTCAGGAAGATACCATGGAGGTGGAGGAGTTCCTGAAAGAAGCTGCAGTAATGAAGGAAATCAAGCATCCTAATCTGGTACAACTGTTAGGTGAGAAAACTTGTCTGAACCACAGATTTTCTCAAAGATGCTTGCCCCTGCCCCAACCCCTTGTTAACAAATCCTCTTTTGAATCACCATGGTGGAAGCTCCAAGAGTGAATTCATTTCAATGAATGGTTGCCACTGTTCCCGAAGAAACAGTGGCCTGGATTGATTTCAATGTATGAAACTACCCAGATTGTGGTAATTGCTACAGATTCAAAGTTCAGAAGCATTCAAAACAGTACGTCAAGCCAAAAATTGTCAACATTTAAAACCATTTTTATAAAATAAAGAGACATTAAACAAAGGGCTATTGAAACAGAAATGAACAGTTGTGACTACCCCTAGCAGGTTACCTTTATAAATGGGAAGTGCTGTGCTTTAATAGATTGGCTTCTCATCTGTTCTGGTCACAAAGAAACAATTGACTTTTTAAAGTAGGGCCAGTCTCTTTGGGTGTTCAAGTTAAGCCATACCCTCCCAAAGGAGATAGTTTCTTAATGGTTCTTTAGAATAGTTTTGGTGGTTGTTTGTACAAGGAATCTACTATATGTGAGTGAAATCCTTGACTAGGAAAACAAAATCTTTTTACAAAGCATTGTTACAGACCGGGCTTACACACCTACTTTCAGTCTTTGGCATCTGCACCAATTGCTGTTACTTTTAGATAAGCATTGTGAGCATATGGTGAAGGAGAGGAATCATGAACATACAGAACTCTAGAAATTTCAGTCCTCCTGGCCCCTTATGGAACTTATACAAGTAATTCTGTTTTTGCTCAAACAAGACAAATACTCAAAGGCCTGTGAATTTCCAGAGAATATAATGGAAGCAGAGATTCCCTTATCAGCCAATTTCTTAATTTTTGCTATAGGAATTTCAGAGAATGTGGTAGCAAGAAGGGGAAAGATCACTGCTGAACTAGACTTAAAAAGGTGTCAAATTACTCTTGGCCACAATGGTTTAGAGTATTTGATATATGCTAATAAAACAGGCTCTATTCTTGACCTATCAGGTGTGTGTACTTTGGAGCCACCATTTTACATTGTGACTGAGTACATGCCATATGGGAACTTGCTTGATTATCTCCGAGAATGCAATCGAGAAGAGGTGACTGCAGTTGTACTGCTCTACATGGCCACTCAGATCTCTTCTGCAATGGAATACTTAGAAAAGAAGAATTTTATCCATAGGTGTGTAAACCTGCCTATTGCCTATCACTAACAATGAAGCCACCTTGCTTAACAAATAAAGGGAAGAATGTGGAGAACCTTCCCAGAAAATTTCGGATGATTCAGGAAAGTAATTTTCTAGTAAGTCTTTCACAGGGCCCATCATAATGTCATTTTCAACTTGTTAACCTACTGTACTCTGATTAAGGTATTACTGCAAGGACTTTGGAAACCCTGGTGGTGTAGTGGTTAAGAGCTATGGCTGCTAACCAAAAAAAGGTTGGCAGTTCGAATCCACCAAGCACTCCTTGGAAACTCTATGGGGTAGTTCTACTCTGTCCTATAGGGTTGCTGTGAGTTGGAATCCACTTGATGGCAACGAGTTTTTTTTGTTTTTTTGGCAGGGACTTTGTTATTCTTAAAACAGAAAGCTGTTCCTTTAACTTATCTAGCACTATATCCAAGATCCTTTTGCTCCGTCTAGTGGCTTTAGTTTAAAAATAGATTTTTCTTAGTAAAGAACTTAAAGCCTTGTAGAAAAACATCAATTGCTGACCTCTGAAACCTATCCCAGTATACATACAAATAGCGAACCCATTTTATGAACCCTCCTTTATTCTGACATCACAAAATAGCCTATTGATGAATACTCTGAGGGATACATAATTAGTGGCTTTCTACCATGTTAGCAGATGTCGTAAAATACTACCATGTCTGTTAGCACTTACTTATCAACTCTGCTTTTAGCACAAAGAACTGTGAATAAAGCATTCATGACCATTTTCCTCACCATCTGAGTGTAATCATATTAGGGTTTCTTCCCCCATTACAGAGATCTTGCAGCTCGTAACTGCTTAGTGGGAGAAAACCATGTGGTAAAAGTGGCCGACTTCGGCTTAAGTAGATTGATGACTGGAGATACCTATACTGCTCATGCTGGAGCCAAATTTCCTATTAAGTGGACAGCACCGGAGAGTCTTGCCTACAATACCTTCTCAATCAAATCTGATGTCTGGGGTAAGGTTGCAAGGGACTTTTCCCTGATTATGTCATTTTATTTTCCTTATAAATGCCTTTACTTCTTCAGAGCTTCTTTTTTTTTTTTTGTTTTTTAAAGATATTCAATATCCTCTGCCTTCACATCTATTCTTCTTCAATTGTTCAGTAAGCATGTATTAAATACCTGCTGTCTACCAGGCAAGGAGCCTTGGTGGCACAAACGGTTATATGCTTGGCTGCTAACTGAAAGGTTGGAGGTTCAGCTCCACCCCCTCAGTGGCTCTCTGGGAGAAAGACCTGGTGATCGGTGTCTGTAGAGATTACAGTCTAGAAAAGCCTATGGTACAGCTCTAACATTGTCATATGGGGTCACTATGAGTCGGGTCACCATGAGTCAAAATTGAATCGATGGCACCTAACAACAACATCTGCCAGACACTGAGCTAGGCACTTAGCATAGAAGAATGTGTAATCAAGCCTTTGTTCATCATTCTGCTTTGTTCATTTCAATTGCCATTTGTCACTGGAACAAAATTAATCTTTCATTCAGTGGCCTCAGATTTGTGCATATCACAGGCTTTTTTTTTTTTTTTTTTTTTCAAATAGAGACTATTCTCTTGTCATGAATTGAATTTGTGTCCCCCAAAAATATGTGTATCAATTTAGCTAGGCCATGATTCCCAGTATTGTGTGGTTGTCCACCTTTTTGTCATATGATGTGATTTTCCTATGTGTTATAAATCCTACCTCTATGATGTTAATGAGGGGGAATAGGCGGCAGTTATGTTAATGAGGCAGGGCTCAATCTTCAAGATTGGATTGTGTCTTGAGCCAGTCTCTTTTGAGATACAGAAGGCAGAAGTGAGCAAAGAGACAGGGGGACCTCATACCATCAAGAAAGCAGTGCCAGGAACAGAGCCCGTCCTTTGGACCCAGGGTTCCTGCATGGAGAAGCTCCTATTCCACGGGAAGATTGATGACGAGGACTTTCCTCCAGAGCCGACAGAGAAAGCCTTCCCCTGGAGCTGACACCCTGAATTTGGACTTCTAAGCCTACTAGACTGTGAGAGAATAAACTTTTGTTTGTTAAAGCCAAAAAGAAAAATGTGTAAGGCCATCCCTGCCTTCAAAGAGCTCACAGTCTAGATCTCATATTGCATCAGAGTTCTAATGATCTTCTCTCTGTTAGGCTCCCTGTTTTCCACATTATGTTTTATTGGTTGTTTCCAGAACAGTGTCACACAGAGTAGCATCCTCTTTTCAAGATGGGCATGATGAAGTTTCATCTAAAATTTGTCCTTGTTAACTGATCTTGTTTCTACTGCCCTGAAAAGCAGTATGACTTAGGAGACTGAGTGGACTAAACAAATTTGGATTGTGGGCCAATTAAGAAATAGTTATAATTAAAAAAAAAAAAAACATTGGTAGTAATAAAAGGAAATCAGTGAAGTAGAGAGAAGCAGCAAGGCTTTCCAAAGCAGTGTTCTTTTCTGAGAAATGTTGTCGGTTGCCGTCGAGTTGATGCGAACTCACAGGAACCCCATGTGACAGAGTAGAACTTCCCCATGGGGTTTTCTGGGCTGTAATCTTTACGGACGCGGATCACCAGGTCTTTCTCCATCAGAGCCACTGGGTGGGTTTGAACTGCCAACCTTTTGGTTAGCAGCCAAATGCTTAACCATTGCGCCACCAGGGCTCCTTTCTGAGAAATAGTGGTCATAAATAAGATGAGTGACTTAGTTGTTCAGCAGTCCTGAGTCAAATTTCACATTAATGTCTATGATATCTGCTTCCTTTGACTTCTGTGGAGCCCTGTTGGCGCAGTGGGTTAAGAGCTCAGCTGCTAACCAGAAGGTCAGCAGTTCTGATCCACCACCTGCTCCTTGGAAACCTGACTTCCATAAAAAAATAATATATTAAAGTAATAGAGTCAGAAATATGAGTGATATTCCAATAATACAGGTGCTGACTCAGTGTTTAACTGTTTAAACTATTGTAAGGAAAAAATGTACGTTTCTCACCACCACACAAACAGTCAGCTGTGATTGAAACCAAGCATAAAAAGAATGAGGGCATGGAGAAGAACACAAGTAGGAAAGAGAATAAACAAAAGAATTGCTGTGTTTTTGACCTTGATTTTGATCAGAATATGCATATTTTAATTGCTACTTTTTTGTGGGTTTTTTTTTTTTTTTGCATTGAATAAATGGAAGACATTAGTTTGAGTTCTGAACCAGTGTGTATTATTTGGACCTGTGGTTCACATACCAAAACCCAAACAAATTAGGTCATTCCTAAAGGGAATTTATTGGCTAAAAGAGCTTTAAGTAAAGAGGGAGAGTTGGCTTCAGGTGTGGATTTACTAGAGGCTCAAACAGTGTCATCAGGACATGGTGACATGGTTTTCTTTTCTTCCATCTTTGTCTTAAGTCTTTCCTTCTCTGTGCTGGTTCGAGGTTTTCCAGGCACTTAACTGAGTGGGACCGTGTTCAAATTCTATGACCTGAGAAAGAGGGAAGATTAGATGGGAAGTAGTCAAAAAAATATGAAATGTCCGCTATACTGGTCACAGGGCAGTTTTTTACATAGTATTCAGCAAGGTTGATCTGCTCACAGTAAGAATTATTTTGTTATGAGGTTTTTTTTTTTTAATCTGTTTGATAGCATCATTTTATAAAATTGAGTTGTTACATTGCCTTTTATTTTTTTCTTATAGATTACCTTCAGTTTTGTATCAATCAAAAAATAGATCAAGGGGGGGAAAATAGTTATAAGAATCTAAGTCACTTTTTACCAGAAACCACAAAGTCAGAAATAACCTAAGTGCTATAAAATCAGGAAAATTCGTTTTTCTGTTGTGGATTTTACCTGATTTTTAATGCATCCATCTTTATTTTACTCCTCTAGTAGCTTAGTTAAAACTGTACAACTCATGAAATAACATGAAAACACTATTCTAAGAATAGTTTGATTATGCCCCAGACTTCCTCTATGCTCATAGCTTATTCTCCCTCATCCTAGTGAAAGAAATCTGAATGAAAATTGGGGAAGTTAAAGAGGTGATACTCGCAGGTTTCCTTGTGGCAGATAATTGTGAGAATGTTGTTTTAACAATGTGTAAATGTTACTCAAACTTACAAAGTGAAGTTACCTAATGATGTAAAATAATAAATCAGAAGAAACTTTTTTTTTTTTTTTTTAAATCCTTTATGCAGCTTTTGGGGTGCTGCTGTGGGAAATTGCTACATACGGAATGTCACCATATCCAGGTATTGACCTGTCTCAGGTCTATGATCTACTGGAAAAAGGATATCGAATGGAACAACCTGAAGGATGCCCCCCTAAGGTTTATGAACTTATGAGAGCATGTGAGTGCTTCTGTATATTTTAATTTTGAAGGTCTGAGTCAGCAGTTTAGGGTAGTTAATGAAATTGGAAACATTTCTCCTCTTAGTGTTGTTAGCTTGAATCCAGCCTCATGACATTTAGAGGGTTTGTCATTGATTAGCCAGCTGGTATATCACGTTATATACCATTGAGTCTTGTTGGAATCCTAAGAATAGTTGTCCATGTCCCAAATATTACCCAATTTCCCAAGAACATTTGCATATTTAATAGAACAGTAAGAAATTGGGCTTGGGATTAAGGTAGGGAAGCGTTGCTTTCAACTAGATAAAATGATTGCTAAAGACTATGGAGAATATATGAAAGTAACCTCTGATGAATAAACAAAAGTATCTGACTGCTTGAAGGTGAGAGCATAGGAAGGTGAGTAGTGAATTAAATTGCAGTCATGTTTAAACATATTTCTGGTTATTTTCTCATTGAGCATTCCCTACTGCCTTGTCATTGTCAAGAGAGAGCTCTAAGCACCTTCTTTCTGATATTATATATTTGAATATATACTGCTGATTATTTATAAAGTTAGGATGAGTTTGAAGAAGGTTTTACTTCTTACCATTCTTCCAGTGAGAGAAAACTTGCCATTTTCTAAACCATCTCCCAACCTTCCCTCATCCCTAGAGTAGAGAGAGCAGAAACTAAGGCTAACTAGAGGGACCAGCCCCAGGAAATGGCTTCATTACACCTCTGAGTCTGGAACTGAGAAGCAGCTGCATTACTATCATTGTGAATGTGCTGTAACTTTAATAAGCATGCTTATGATGCATTGAACTCATTATCAGCTATGCCACTGGATATATAATTCTTGTAAGAAGCTTTTACTGTTTTCCTCTTTTGTTATATATAGGCTGGAAATGGAGCCCTGCTGATAGGCCTTCTTTTGCTGAGACTCATCAAGCTTTTGAAACCATGTTTCATGACTCTAGCATTTCTGAAGGTAAGAATCTGGTGAATTTATTGTTAGTGGCTAGTGATGGGTGGTGTTGGCAGTAACATTTCAAAAATGATGGGACTCTGAGTTTTGGGGCTCCATTTCAAGATACTGAATTAACTCTTGGCCTTTATTAGTTTTGTTTGCTTTTTTGCTATTTTTCAATGTGTCTTTGTGTCTCTATTTCATATTGTTAATATTGAAATTATATTTTAATTAGAAATTAATTCAGTCTCTTCATAAAGAAAAGTAGTAAGTTCATTAGTTCTTTAAGCAGCAACACATGGTGTAGGAAAGAGAAAAAATATTCCAACTCCCTGAACTACATCTACAGAGTGTGAACAAAGATTTAGCTACGAGGACATTGCATCAGCATGTAATTTATAATATTAAAAAGTTAAGAATTTAAATATCTAGTGGACTGTTGATTATTACATCCATATAATTGAATATTTAAATTATATTTTTAAATATATTACATGGAAAGGGGTTTAGAATAAGTAGGTTAGATTAAATTCTGAACAGTGAGAACCCTTTTCTTGTTTAAAAAACAAGTGTATGTATACATAGAGGCAGTCTCCTTTTATGCCTTTCAAAATTATCTGCAAAAGTCAAAGAATTCCTAATTACACCTGCCGATTAGACACTTTTGATAGTCCTAGAATTTTGTACATAGTCTTTCAAATTTTCCCTTTCCTTCATAACTGAACACAATTGTCTTCTTAAGTTCAAGTTTTAAAAATACTGTAATAGAAGAGGAAGTCAGGCAAGTTGATTTTTGTGTACTTCTCTTAGTAATTTATCATATCAGGTAAGAAGAAAGGAAAAAGAGATGTACAATACCCAGATTAATGAAAAGTATTTTCATCCTAGCCAACACTTACTAATGGGTGAACAGTTTTTCAGGATCCTAATTTGCATGAATTGGAATGGATTGTATCTACTCTCCTTTTTAGTGCAAGGTGCAACCTAAAAATCAAAATAGCTGCAGTTATTTGTCTGCTTTGTTTAACCTTTGAATAGGTATACTTAGTAAACTAGGATATCCGAATGACTGACAAGCATATGAAATCATGTTCAACAGTACTCATCATCATGAAGTACAAAATAAAACTGCAATAGATACTACTACATACCTACAAACCAAAAACCAAACCCATTGCTGTCGAGTTGATTCTGACTCACAGTGACCCTGTAGGATAGAGTAGAGGTGCCCTATAGGGTTTCCAAGGATTAGCTGGTGGATTCGAACTGCCGACCTTTTGTTTAGCAGCCTCAGCTCTTAACCACTGCACCATCAGGGCTCTGCATAGCTACCAGAAAGGCTAAAATTAAAACATAAACCAAAAAAACCTGATAACATCAAGTTTTGGCAAGCATACAGATTAATCTGAACTCTTATTTATATACATTGCTAATGGGAGTGAAAATTGGTATAGCCATTTTTGGAAGACAGTTTGGCTGTACTCATTAAAACTGAACTTTTGTGTACCCTATCACCCACCACTTCCACTCCTAGGTATATACCTAACACATGCATACAACTGTGAACCAAAAGACATGTAGAAAAATATTTCTAGCAACATTATTCATAATAGCCCAAATCTGGAAATAACCTAAATATCCATCAACAAGAAAATGGATTGTGGTATATTTATGCATTGGAATACTACACTGCAACAAGATAGAACTCCTGCCACGTGCAACAGCATGGATCAATCTGCAGACAGAATATTGAGCAAATGAAGCCAGACATAAAGAGTACCTTCTCCATGATTCCATTTATATATTTTGATACTCTATTCTCAATTCTTTCTCAGCTTTATGCCTTTTTTGAAAAGAAAAACTCCTTTTCTCTGTCATGAAATTGTTCATTTATAAGTCTACTTGTCTTCCTCACAGAGGTAGCTGAGGAGCTTGGGAGAGCTGCCTCCTCCTCATCTGTTGTTCCATACCTGCCCCGATTACCTATACTTCCTTCCAAGACTCGGACACTGAAGAAACAGGTAGAGAACAAGGAGAACATCGAAGGGGCACAAGATGCCATAGAGAATTCTGCCTCCAGCTCAGCACCAGGTATGGGTCCCCTAGGCCAGTAGAATCAAAATAGACCTTTATGAGATGCTGTCTTGTTTGAGGGGCAGAGTGGTATAATGCTCTTATTCCTATTCTTATACCTGCCTACCCTGAGGAAAGTCTGGCATCTATTTTACCTACCACTCTAGTTCTTGGCTCTGCATTGCCAGTGTTAATTGTCCTAATCTATCGGTCTGACATCTAACTCTGTCTCCACCTCCATTTCCCCAACTCCTGATTTCCCAAATAGTTACCATCTTTACAGTTCTGGCAAAAACTTCTTTGAGCCTGATAGATGAGGGCAGGTTGTGCTATAACTTTTAGAGAAAGGATGGATGCTGAGGTTATTTTTTCCCATTTATGACCTCAAGTGCATTTGGAATACTAATCAGTGTGAAGTGATAATACGTTAATCCATTCATTAGTTGGGTCCCACCGACACCCAACATTTAATAGATGCTGACAAAACCTTTATAGTTGAGCCATAGTAACTCAGGTGTGATGGTTTCCTTCTTACATATGACTGATTGATTGGCTGTTTCTCATCAGGGTTCATTAGAAGTGCACAGGCCCCCAGTGGGTCCCCAGCACTGCCTCGAAAGCAAAGAGACAAGTCACCCAGCAGCCTCTTGGAAGATGCCAAAGAGACATGCTTCACCAGGGATAGGAAAGGAGGCTTCTTCAGCTCCTTCATGAAAAAGAGAAATGCTCCCACACCCCCCAAACGCAGCAGCTCCTTCCGAGAAATGGAGAATCAGCCCCACAAGAAATATGAGCTCACGGGTAACTTCTCATCTGTTGCTTCTCTACAGCATGCTGACGGGTTCTCTTTCGTGCCTGCCCAGCAAGAGGCGAATCTGGTGCCACCCAAGTGCTATGGGGGGAGCTTTGCACAAAGGAACCTTTGTAATGACGATGGTGGTGGGGGTGGGGGTAGTTGCACTGCTGGGGGTGGGTGGTCTGGCATCACAGGCTTCTTTACACCACGCTTAATAAAAAAGACACTGGGCTTACGAGCGGGTAAACCCACAGCCAGTGATGACACGTCCAAGCCTTTCCCAAGGTCAAACTCTACATCTTCCATGTCCTCAGGGCTTCCAGAGCAGGATAGGATGGCAATGACTCTTCCCAGGAACTGCCAGAGGTCCAAACTCCAGCTGGAAAGGACAGTGTCCACCTCTTCTCAGCCAGAAGAGAATGTGGGCAGGGCCAATGACATGCTTCCCAAAAAGTCAGAGGAAGGTGCTGCTCTAACCAGGGAGAGACCAAAAGCCAAACTTCTGCCCAGAGGAGCCACAGCTCTTCCTCTCAGAACCCCCTCAGGGGATTCAGCCATCACAGAGAAGGACTCTCCAGGGCTGGGGGTGGCCGGAGTGGCAGTTGCACCCAAGAGCAAGGAGAGGAACGGTGGGGCACGACTTGGGATGACTGGAGTTCCAGAGGATGGAGAGCAGCCAGGGTGGTCTTCTCCAGCCAAGGTGGCAACAGTCCTCCCAACCACTCACAACCACAAAGTGCCAGTCCTTATCTCACCCACTCTGAAACACACTCCAGCTGACGTGCAGCTCATTGGCACAGACTCTCAGGGGAACAAGTTCAAGCTCTTATCTGAGCATCAGGTCACCTCCTCTGGAGACAAGGACCGACCCCGACGGGTAAAACCAAAGTGTGCCCCGCCCCCACCACCAGTCATGAGACTACTGCAGCATCCGTCCATATGCTCAGACCCTCTGGAAGAGCCGACTGCCCCTTCTGCCGGACAGCCCACGACAGAAACCCAGGAAGGTGGGAAAAAGGCAGCAGCAGGGGCAGTGCCCATCAGTGGCAAAGCTGGGAGGCCACTGATGCCTCCACCTCAAGTGCCTCTGCCCACATCTTCCATCTCGCCAGCCAAAATGGCCAACGGCACAGCAGGTACTAAAGTGGCTCTGAGAAAAACCAAACAGGTGGCTGAGAAAATCTCAGCAGACAAAATCAGCAAAGAGGCCCTGCTGGAATGTGCTGACCTACTGTCCAGTGCAATCACGGAACCTGTGCCCAATAGCCAGCTGGTGGACACTGGCCACCAGCTGCTTGACTACTGCTCAGGCTATGTGGACTGCATCCCTCAAACTCGAAACAAATTTGCCTTCCGAGAGGCCGTGAGCAAACTGGAACTCAGCTTACAGGAGCTGCAGGTGTCTTCAGCAGCTGCTGGTGTCCCCGGGGCAAACCCTGTCCTTAATAACTTATTGTCATGTGTACAGGAAATCAGTGATGTGGTGCAGAGGTAGCCACTGTTAACCTAGCGGGGAGATGCACACATTTCTGAGGGAGAGGGAAACGGGACTTGTTTTCCTATGTTCTTGTTTTCAAAAAATGAAAGACTGATACTTGAGTGTGTTTATGTGAAGTACCTCAGATCCCTGAGTTCTCACGTTTACAGGTTCATCTCAAATTTTTAACAAGAAGCAAACCACATAAGTACAGGAAAGGAAAATTCGGTGGAGGCAGGGCAGTAGTTGCCAGGGTTGCAAGCTGCACTGCAAAATCAGGGAACACGTGTATGTCATGCCATAAAGAAAGAAATCCAGCCCATTGCTACCTGGAATGATGTGAGTTGGCTAGACAGGCTGAGCTCAGCAAGGCTGCGGCACCAATTCTGCTTCACACAAAAGGGAGTTAGACCTAGGGCTCCAGTAGGTACTAATGGTGATTAAGCACCAACTCACCTAGTGAACTTATTAGGTCAGAAGAAAGGAATGCTGGTAATGTACCATGAGAAGTTTTGTTCAAGTCTGTTGGAAGCAGCTGTTGGCCTTGCTCCCACAAGGTCATTGCTGCTGTAGTAAGGACTGCAAATCAAATTGTTAAAATACACAACTGGGAAACGTTAGTGCAGGAAGTAAAGAATGCTGGAAGGTTTGGTCTGGGAGATTTAAAATCTCCCCCTAAAATCCTAGATTGATCAGCAGAAGTCACTTCTTCTAGTCTATTATATTATTTCCTAATGGACCAGGGTTGGCTTTCTGCTTGTGGGTGCTCATTTGAAAACCATAGGCACAGGGGTCTCGGCTCTTCTTAATGCTTCTTCTTTACCCCCTGCTGGGCAGGCTGTCTTCCTTTACTCCTGGCAGCATTCGGGGCATTAACCAAGGTTAACTTTGAAGTTGTGATCACATACAGGTTCTTGCAGAGGCATGATTTTCTGAAACAGTGCTCCTGCATACTGACATACTGGCCAAGGACTTGAGCAGCTGTATACTTATCAACTAAAATACCAGGGAGGGAGCCTCTTGTTGAAACCCAAATGGCCAGGCTCAGAGGGCCGGGACTGAGAGAAGAAGCTGGCTTGGCCCTAACGGCTATTTCTCTTTACCTTTCCCCTCTCTTATCACTTTAGAGCCAGTCTAGGTAGAGCACAGGGGGAGGCATTTTCTCTCTTCCTTTCTCTGGATTTCAAACGAAATTACCCCAAATTATTCTCACATGCTTTTCTCACAGTTCTCTTCCCCATCATTGTGCTTGTTTGTAAAGATCATATTGGGAATATTCTTTGTTATTTATTCTGTAATTCACCTCTATTTTAAGAGTGCATAACAGAAGGAGCAGCATTTCCAGAAAGCACCAACTAAACCCTGGAATCCTAATGACTTAGCCCTCAAATTATGTTTTGCCCTTGGAAAATAGAGCTTTTCTATCCCTTCTCATTTCTAATTACAGAGCTAATTAGGATCACATGGAACCAAGTCTAATGGGTTAGATATTAATATTCCTAGTATCAGGCTGAATTCTAACTATTTCATTCTCTTAAAGCTTTATGAGACCCTTCCCCCCCCAAAGAGAACTCAATATATAATATCTTAATTTTTTCCTCCCAGAGGAATATTAGCTTAGGAAGATAGGAATTCAACATTGATGAACAGTGAGCGTTCTTCCTGGCTCTGTCATTGATCCACTGTGAAGCCACAGCCCCATCTCTTAATCTCTTAAATGAAGGTAATGATACATGTTCTCAAGGGTGTTTTGCAAGTAAGTATATAACTATCCCTATGAGAGCCTCTCTGGAAAGCTCTTTAGTGCAGTCTTGTTATGTTGAATGGTTTTTCATTCTCTTCTTTGCTCAGTAGCAGGTATTAGTGAAATTTAGAACTGCTGAGATTATATTAATTAGGCTAGAATGCCCTATGGAGCAGTTCTACTCTGCACATGAGGTCACCATGAGTCAGAATCGACTCAATAGCAACTAACAACAACAACTAAGGGGAAACTGTGTTTTGGATAGAGTTTGGTGCCTTTGACCAACGAGGAAATTTAGTTTTCATTAGAAGGTAACCTTGATTTTTATCATTGCTGCTTTAAAGGAGGTCCAGGGTAAGAGAAGGATAAGAAGGGAGGAGACAGTACAGGGCATTTCTTGCAGGTGTTGGGTGATCCCTGTCAATATGTTACCTACAGACACAGCACAGGCAACTAGTGGTCAGGTTAATCCCCTTTTAGTGGTTGGAATGAAGATAGAGTTCCCCTTAACTTAGACTTAAAAACCACCAATTCTCCTCCCGGCTTGTTCCCTGCCATTCCCCCTCATCATACACTTTGATAAACTTGTAACAGTTTTAGTAATTAGCCTTTTAAGGATGGGGAGGGGAAAGCTAAAACTTTAGAATATTAATGTGCTGCTTTTTACGTTTATCCCTATCATTGTGGGATGCAAGTTGAGGGATTATAATTGTTTTTCAGGGTTTTTTTTTTTTTTTTTTTTTTTAAGCAAGGAATCTGTTTTTCCTTGAGAGCTCTGAAAATAAGCTGTGGAGAAACACTACTGAGTGTATTTAAGCTCCCTGATTTTCTCACCGAAGAACAATCTTAAGGAGTGGGGGCTGTGTCTTACTCAGGGGCAGCACCTAGCTCTGTCTTTCCTACAGTGGGTGCTCAATAAAGCAAAGAATTCAATTCATTTTTCTCAACACAGTCAAGAGTAGCATTGACTATTGTAGCACACCCCATCCTGCATGATGCTTGAACTGTGCAACTTCAGGGGTTTGAGGGCTCAGGGTTCAGGTTAAAGAGGCACTGTCAACTTATTATAAAAGATAATTTGGGTTTTTCCTTTTTCTGCTTGAAAAGGACCAATTAAAAAGACCTTATTAAATTAAAAGGTTTTGAATTCAAAGCAGAAAAAACTGCTTCTAGAAACTGAAAGTATAGTTTAATTCTATCTAGCCTAAAAGCAAAGCAGATAGCAGGAGAAGAAAAAAAAAGAAACGCTTATAACAAAGTACACCTACTCCTCACTTATCAACTATCTTGTCGTCTGACATTTCACATTTATGACAATAGTAAAAAATCTATGTGACTGTTTTGCGCATTAATGACGTACGTCTGGCAGTAAAGAATGCCAAGGTGCGAGGCAAGAGTAATGCTGCCTGTGATGGTTAAGGTTGTGTGTCAACTTGGCTTGGCCACAATTCTCAGTGGTTTGGCGGTTATGTACTGATGTAGTTACTCTCCATTTTGTGACCTGATGTGGTCATCCTCCATTTTTGCATAATGCCGATTTTTGTATAACAACCTGGTCTTTGAAACCTAACCATGTCAATAAGTGAGGAGTGAGTGTACTGAAAATTTTCTAAAGTGGTTATATATATGTATACCTTTGGGCTACCACAGCTTGAATCCTTTTGTGTACAGGTAATATGATTTCAGTTCAGATTTCCTACTTTAAAATGCAGTGTTTTGTGTAGAATACATCTTGATTGTGCTTTACATATTTTCTTCAAAGGCTTTGTGTAAAATTAAAATCCATATATTTTCCTACAGACTTCCATCATAATTTTCAGAGATGCAGCCTTAAAAAAAAAAAAACTGGCCCTAGGAAATTCATTGAGTGTTTTTCCAGATGACCTCTATACATAGAGGTCATTATAGTATAGACCCTTTCCCAGCTGTATTTTAGGGTTTAAATTAGAAATTTTCTTACAGTTCAGTTGAAATTTGGCTACAAAAATAGTTCTCAATTAATGAAACATTCTGACTTTGCTAAGGCACAGCCCATATTTCCTTCACTAAAAATCACAGAGTTTTTGAGTTTAAAAGATACAGTATAGATAGTAGTTAAGGGTTCAGGCTCTAAAGTCTAAAAGGCAAGTCATTTAACCTTTCCAAGCCTCAGTTTCCTCACTGTAAAACAGGGATAATAACAGAAACTACCTCATAGGGTTGTTATAAGGATTAGATGAGATAATGTATGTAAGATACTTAGCTCAAGTGCCTGGTACACAGTGAGCACTTCATAATGTTAACTCCTCCTCCTCCTCCTGTTACTATTATAGCTCCTAGTGACTCTGAGCAAGGAATGTGCAAACAGAATCCCCTAAGGGACTTCTGAAAAACTGATCATTGGCCTCACTCCAGATCAGAACTCCCAAGAGGGTGGGGGTCTCAACTAATGTGTTTTCGAGAATCTCCCCATGTGTTCCTTACGCCCATCACTGTGTGAGAACTATCAATTCCCCAGCCCTTCTCTTGACAGATTAAGAAACTGGAGGGGACGATGGTTAAGTTACTTGCCTGTTATTTCACAGCAGTTAATTAGTGACAGAGCCAGGGCTAGAATCTGGGTCTCTTGACTCCCTGGTCATGGGGTCTTTCTACCATTCCTGCTGCCTTGTGAGACACTACCAAAAAAAAGTGGCTCAGATAGACAATCAGTTCGTACAGTGCTGCACACTTTCTTAAAGCACATGCTCCTGGCACTCTGACCATAAGGGGCTTGAATGTTGAGTAATGGCAACATTGGCAAAGCAGGCACTCAGTAGAACTCAGTGATTTAACAAATTATATGGGATCATTCTTTGGACAGACAGACATCAGCAACAAAGCAATCTGCACTGAGTAGTAAGGAAATACCAACTAGGTTTTTTTTTTTTTTTTTTTTTTTTAAAACTATTCCTACATTCCTTTTTCTTAAAAAAAAAAACTTTACTCAGTACCATTTAATGACTATGAGATAATGTATATGAAAGCACTTTGAGAAAATATCAGAAGTAATATAACTCTAAAGTTGTATTATTGTCTGTTTAGAAGAGAAAATAGTTGGTTAGATGCTGATTAACCTAAAGGCTCTTACCTGTGAGAGACCTGAAAATGCAGCTATATAAACAATCACCATTGTAATTGATTACATTTATAAGTATGAAACTGCTGAATGAATATATGCAGGAGTGGCAAGTGTCTTGGTAAACTTGTAGTTCAAAGCTGAAATCTGGGGACCAACTTTTTGGTTTCAGTCATTTCAGAATAGAGAAGCTCTTCCGGGGACCTTGCCCCGAGAAGGATGTGGCCCATTTACTCACGAATGTTTGTCCAGTCCCTGCTCAGCCACTGAGAAAGATGTGGCAGTCTGCTTCCAAGATTACAGCCTTGGAAACCCTATGGGGCAGTTCTTCTCTGTCCTACAGGGTTGCTGTGAGTCGGAATCGACTTGACAGCATTGGGTTTGGTTTTGATTTTCTTAGCCACTGAGTCATCTAAATGTGGCAGGAGCAGACTTGTTTCCTATTGATGTTGACAGTGTCTTTTTTAACCTATGTCCTGTGTGGTATTTTTGTTTTTGTCTTTTTTTTTTTCTTTTTTGGGAGGGGAGTCGGGGTGAGATGGCTATAGAACCAGTGCACTTTGGGAATTTCCTACCAGTTATAAATGAGCTTGACATTTAGCATCTATCTTCATTTTTTAAAAGAAGAGTAGCTGAACATAACCCATCCATTAGATTATAAAATATCCAGGAGTAAATTGCATTGGTGGCCACTTCTGAGCTAGCTATACTGCATTCTAACCTCTCTCACTCCCTTTCATTTTTGCTACTGATGTCATTATTCCTCTCAGGCTGTGCCCCTGCTGGAGTTCACATTGGGCTGACAGGGGTATCTGTGTTTTTGTTGGTGAAGATTTTTGGGTTTCATCATCTTGCTTGCATTAACTTGCTCCACCTAGATGGGGGGTCCAGTTTCTCTGTTATGACCAGTCCTCTTTATATGTAGGTGGTCTCTGGGCATAAGTTTCCTCTATGTACACTGACAGACTTCAGCTGTCTGTATCTCTGTCTTAGTTTCTGTCAAGCCAGTAGCTTAGTCGCTGTGCAAATGCCTGATTCAGTTTGGGGTATGGTGGCGTGTGAGAGAAATAGGGGAAGGTAGCCCCAAGGGAGCCTCTACCTTCCATGTGACAACCAGGGAAATTGCTGCTAGCCATAGCCTCACTGGTCAGATAGAACCTCAGGCTGGTTCCGAGTCTCCCACTCTTAACAGTCAGACTATTTATACCTTCGGATAGACTTCCAACTACCAGACTTTTAAAAATTTAATGCAAGGCTTTTCTGGCAAGCCAATAGTGCCTGGAGTAGCAGTTACAGCTCCCTGCTCTGTTACAGCACAACTTCAGTTTGCCCTCCAGGGCCTGAACGTCACTGCCATTCCCTCGCCTCCTGTATTACAGGGAAGCATGGGTGGATTTCAGGGCTGAGGAGTGGTCTGCACCCTGGTCTTTCTCTTCCCCAGAGTATCCACCCAGGTGACTGATTATCTTAGCTCCAGCCTGCCCTTTGTGAAGTTAACTGCAATGTCAGAAGGTTGAGTCTCTGCTCTGGGGCTGCTGCTTTTTGTGCCACCCACCTGAGTTGTACGTTCTGTCTTGAGTGTGTGAAAGATAGTTCCTTCATTTCTGATTCAATACCTTAGATCCAAAGAATGGGAAATTGATGAAAGCTCTGTGATCCCCTGCTTCTCCCCATGTGATGAAACCTGTGGCAAGTCATCTTGACCCTAGGGTGTCTTGACCCTAGGCCTAGGGAATGGTGCCTTCCAAGATGAGTTTCATGAGTCTTGCAGGGAAAAGACTTGTCAGCTGGGTTGATTTTGCACGATTATTGAATTGGTAGAACTGAACGTCACAGGTGGCAGTGGCTCAAAGCCCAAGTCAGTGAGCGTTCCCTGCCTTTAGGTGTTCTGCCCACACAGGGTGCTGATTTGGCAGATTGCTGCACTTTTCTCTATTCTGCTTTGATGAGCTGGGGAAGGATCTTGTAACTGTACCTTCTCTCCCTCCAGGTGCACTTCTTTGCTCCTTTGTTCACCTATATTTTTGAAGTTTTTTATCTCTTCTAGAAAAATTGTATCCTTTAACCTCCCCATTGCTGAGGCACCTGAACACAGTAGCAAAACCCCTGTTAACTCAGCCAGAGGTAACAGATGGCGTGTTGAGTGGGTCTTCAAACCTGTAGATCATCTAAGAGGAAACGATACCTACTTTGAGTTAAGTTACAAGGCTAAGCACAGAATTGCCCTCAGACCACACCATCTTCAGGGCAGAATTATGTTACACGTCCTCTCTGTCTTTTCTAAAGAGATTCTTTCTTCATCACTGTACTCGTAACAGCAAGTTTTAGGGTCCTACATGCCATTCCAAGCTACTGAGCTGTACAAACAGAGCTTGAGGTCTCTGAGCTTGCTAGTTAACCCTTTAACCCATAGTGGAGGTGAACTGTCGAATGCTAGCAGGCTTTAAGAAAAGGAGTACAGGGAGTTTGTGTGGTTGGAACTTGCTTAGATTTGCTTCTAAGCCTCAGAATAGGAGTTTTAAATCATGTAATAAAGCACCATAAATTTCAGTTGGAGAATGGGACTTCTAGTTAATAAAGCATTTTCACATATATGGACATTTAATTTTCAGCAATTATAACACAATAAAAATGGCATACAGATATGCTAAATAAAATTCATTCTTTTATCCAGAAGGTACTGCCAGATCCTGCAATGCTTTGGGGTCATCAGTAGTGAACCCCAAATACTGTTCTGTACAATTCAGAAGTACCAATACCACGTGTTATAGGTGGACAGAATGCCAAGAGACAGATGTTTCTGGTAGATGAGGACCAGATAAACAGCTGCCTTCTATTTTGACAAGTCATTTTTCACTGTGGCCACTATTCTTGGACTTCATTATAAGAGGAATTTCCCAGATCTTGAGAAATCACCTTGATTAGGCTGATTGTCCTTCAGGGAATTAGTATTCAGAAACTAGAAAGGACATGAGGTACCTTTCATCTTATAGTTCTTTGGGCATATGTTGGAAAACCCTCAAATCTCAAACATATAGAGGGAACATGTTTATGTCCATAAGCATACATGCACTATTGTCATGCCCATTAAGAAGGGAGGGGAGTAAGCGAAATAGAACTAAATCAGATCTTTCCCGATGGTGAACTGCAGCAGTGCCATGGTGGTGTGTTTGCCATGAACAGGCAGACAGCTGCTAACACATACTCAGAAGCCCCCCTCTCTCCTCTCTACCCTGCACTTTTTCTTCTTTGCAGTCTGGTTCTGTAATGACTATCAGTGGAGAAACCCCAGTTTTATCCTCACTTGTTTAAAAATGAGTTTGAATATTTCATAGTGGTTGACAGAACACTGTCCTAAAACATACGCTGATTCAGATTCTTTAAAACTTGTTTGTTTATACCAAAGGTCACGCTCTGCAGGTGTATGTGTGGTGCACAGAGGGTGAGAGTGGGAGGGCCCGGCGCCGTGTGCACAACTGAGGGGGTACAGTGAGACAATATGGGATTTAACTGAAAACACATCAATCATGGGTCACACTACCAGTGTTGTCAGGTATTTGTTCTAATTGTTATTGTAATATATTTTCAGTTGTTTTGTTCTTCTAATTTAATTCTCTCACTCTGTTGTCTAACTGTGAACTGCTAACAGTGTTAAACTTGATATAAATAAATGAGGCCCTTGAAAGGGACTGCTGTCTGCCTGTCGTCTCACAAGGTTTGCCAACTTGTGTTTTGTTTTAAATAAAGGTTGCGATATTGGCAAAGTAGGCTTAAGATTGGAGTTTCTCCCATAATTTTAATTGACAGGGGATCTAAGCAGAATTTCTCTCTCTCTGCATAAAATGGATGTCTAGAAGGTAAAGAAGCTGATTTTAGAAGCATCCCTGTGGCACATTCTTTAGAAGGACCTCTATGTGGTGACTACTCGCCCTTTGATGGATTATATTTTTTTGAAGAGGCTGAAAAGCATCATCTGGAGCCTAGGCTGGTACACAAGGTGGGGTGTGTGTGTGTGTGTGTGTCTGTGTGTGTCTGTGTGTCTGTGTGTCTGTGTGTGTGTGTCTGTGTCCAGCGTGAGGGGACTGCAAAATGACAGAATATATTCTGAGGACAATTCCAAATAAGTTCTAAAAATGTTTTGAGCCAATGTAGCATTAATAGACTAAGAACAGAACCTCACAAAGGAATATTCTAGTTTGACATGGCCTTCAGTTTTTTAAAAAAATGAGTCATTGCTTTTAGAAGTAACCTTAATTAGGTATGAATAGAATATACATAAGGAGCCCTGATGGCCCAGTGGTTAAGAGCTCAGCTGCTAACCAAAAGGTCGGCAGTTCAAATCCACCAGCTGCTCCTTGGAAACCCTACTCTGTGCTATAGGGTCGCATGAGTCTGAATTGACCACAGTGGATTAAGTATATACATAATGGGACACATATGGGCCCAATTTGAACAGCTGTTAAAGATTGGCTTATCCACCTCTTCACATTCCACCTTCAATCCTTTTTTCCCACCCATTTTTGGTTTAGGAAGTCTTGTTTTTAGAATCTTCCTAGAAGAGTCCCCCATTATGTTCTCCCTGTTTGTATTATGTATATTTTCCACACCTGAGGCTATGGTCTTTGCTGAGGAAATCAGTCCTAGAAACAAGCGTGTTTAAACCGTAGTTGCTAGGAGCTCAGGAGCTGGAGTTAGGTTGTCTGGGTTGAATCCCACTCCTACTAATTTTGTGATGAAATTGATGCCTAAGTCACAGTGTCAAAGATTACACGAGACGCTGGCTGTAAAGTGCTTAGCATAGTGTATGGCACATGATAAGTTCTCAAATGTTAGATATCTCAAACTAGTAAGGAACCTTCAGACAACCAGGGTCCAAGAGCTAGACATGGAAGAAAAGTCCCAGCCTTGGCTTTGAGTATGGTGCCAAAGCTGACAGCAGTTTTATTAGATTTTTTATTATTCTTACTTAAACACCAAAAGTACCATGTCCTGAGCACTTTCTGAAGATAACTCATTTCATCCTCACAACCCTAGGTAGGTACAATTGTGCCCATTTTTACTAAAGCAGAAACTAAGGTTAAACAGCGTGAATAGCTTTCCCATGGTCTCACTGTAGTAAGTGGAGGAATGCTGATTCTAGCCCAGGCAGCCTGACTGCAGAGCATGTGCTCAGAACCGCGATGGTCTGCTGCCTGTCTTAGTTCCTGAGGTAGGAGGTTCAGATCTTCTATTTCTGACATCAAGCGTGGCTAGCCAGTGATAAAAGAATAATGCCATCTGTTCTGTATACCTTTTAAAGTGTGCATATACAGAGTTTAGAGCTGAGTATGTAACAGGATCAGGTGGCCTGTGTATTCTTTCCCAGATGCTCTAGACTGAGATACAGCCAGGAACCAAAACAGACCCCCCCCCCCCACCATGCTCTTGTGCAGTTACTTTTGTCCCATGAGTGGTATGAAACTAAGTTCCTTTAATTCATTTATTTCAATGTTTACTGAGTACCTAATGCAGTTCAGGCTAGGTACTCCCTAAGCTTGGGGCCGTTATTTGAGTAGATGAGCACAATAAAGTGTTACATGGGGGAAGAGACAGCAATGTTCCATTTTACAAGGGCTAAAGGTGAGCGGGGGGTGGGGGAGGGCTTTAAAGAAGATGGACACTTGAGACCACAAATATATGAGGGAAGACGTGTGTGTAATTCCAGAACTGGGGTAGAGAGGAGGGACCGAGAGAAGGGTAAGAACACTTAATGAGCACCTCCTATGTGTCTAGGCGAAACGCTGGACACTTTACATGCTGCCGTTTAATCCTTAAAGCTGGCAATACAGGAGTAAATGTTCATACGTAAGAGTAATACGCTGTGGGAACCTCTCTGAATAAGAGGTTGTTGTAACTCAGCTCAGCTGGTAAGGTCCCAAAGCAAACTGATATAAATTGGCAGACCAGTCAATCAATCACCTTGTCAGTTCCTTGAATGCCAACATCTGCCCTTTGTACCTGGCATTTGAAATATTGCTGAGTGAGCATGGTTACTAGGTCTCAGTAAGAAAGTAGGCCAAAGGGTTTTAGAAAAATACAAGATTTTAATCTTTACAAAGAAATAGTCATGTCTAGGCCCCTAATTTAAAATAAAACTTGTTTTTTTTTTTAAATCTGCAAGCAGAAGAAGCCTTAGTTGTGATTTAAAAAAAAAAGAAAACCATCTTCTGTGCACCTTATCCCTCAGTCTGAAGCTCTTTGCTGATCTGTTCACAAGCAGAAGCTGCTCAGCTTTCCTCTGGGAATAACTGAAAGCTAACCCACGCAGTCTGCAAACCTGAGGTGCTCCCTAGTCCTGGATCAGCAGGACTTCATTCTTCCCTTCTCTGTAAGTGGAAGATCCTGCAGCCTCTGAGACCCAAATCCCAAGTATGAGCATCTGCCTGGAAGAGCTGAGATGCTAAGGAGACCATCGTAGAGTCATAACAGCCCTTGGGATTTGTTTGTCTCCCACATGGCTTTCTCCAACCACCTGGCCCACATTTTAAAATGCGGGTCTTTAAGGCACCAAATGATTTTAGGAATTGGCTCTGGTTTGAATTTCAGGCCTTCCTTTTACACACCAGTTATGTGTTAGTGATGTGCTGGATGCCAGCCTGCCCTGCCTACCCCTTACAGTCTCAGACAGTGCTCGGACAGGCCCCAGGGTCCTGTTAGTGGAAGGAAGCCAGCTTCAGAAGTCTTCATCTAGCCCTCAAGGCAGGAAATAGTTAATTCTCTGGGAAATAGATTTGCAGCCCTGAGAAGAGAAGAGCTGTTCCTCCTTGGGGACATACGACATCATCTTGGCGATTTCATCCAGTGCCTCTTCTGTATACGGGAGCTCCTGGCTCAGGAAAGCGTCACGTGCACACAGCCTCACATGACGGTACTCCAGTGGCAGGAAGGGGACGAAGAAGTCTATCAGGTTCTCTTTCACAAGACAGCTGTGGCCAAAGCCACTGTCTGAAATCAAAAGCCAAAGTTACAAGCAGTCTGACCTTGGGTGCTGAACCCAGCTGAGTTTTAACGTGTCCCAGGCCTAAGGCCAAGGCAAGGTTTGATCTCATATGCCCACTCTGGCAGAACTGTCTGAGACGTATCAAGAACTGTCTCCTCTGACGGAAGGAGTGCCCTGATGACTATCAATGTATGCCATGGGTGAAGCAGGGAGGATGATGGCATGATTGCCAGGTTTAAGGTTTGGGTTGATGGTAGCAAAAGGTGGAGTGACCCTACCTCTGACTGGAGGCTGGAGAAGTGAAGTTCTCAAAGTGAGACTCCTCTTAACAGGCTTGAGTCCATTGTGTGTATTTCCAGAGCCAATGCAATCTACTCTCTTCAAAAGCATTTTCAGAAAAGGAGTTCAGGCCTTCTTGGAAGAGCCAAGCCTGGGCAACAAAGTTTATGCCTAACCAAAGCTGACAACGTAAGATGATTATATGGTATGTCTTCTGTGGTCCTAAGTACCGTACCCTGTCCGCTTCATAAACACACATTCTAACACATACACATTACCATATTTTTACACAAATAACGTGTGCCTTCTGTGTTTGCCTTCTGTGTTTGCTGGCCATGCCCTCCCCTACGAGGTATTTTCATAAGCATGCTATGCTAATTTTTTTTTTTTTTTTTAACAGCTACATGTGGAAGAGGATTAGCAAGGCAACAGAGCTTTAGTTTCTGCTTGGCTGGGAATCCGGTACCTGTGGACTCCACAATCTCAGCCTGGAGGTGTGGCTCCAAGTGTTCCATTGTAATTTCTTCCCGGGCCTGTCCAGCTTTAAGCAAATTCAGGACCACCTCATTGATGATATTGCCCCCAAGGTTACTGAAAGAGACAGAAGAGCTTGTTAACAGATTTTGTTCTTTTTATATTTAGCTTCCAAATGGGTAACTTGGCCATTGCAGCCAATGCATTGGTGCCTGGAGGAATGAAGGTTCTGTCATACCCTAGAGGTCTGTACAGAAAAGACACTGTCCTGCTTTGCCACTCATCCTTCCTCTCTCACTCCTTTAGACAAACACTGAGACTGTGCTAGGTGCACAGAGCACAAAGACGCGTAAGACGTGGTTCTTGCCCTTGATTTCAGTGTGGAAGGGGAGGTACACATGTATGTGAATCCAGGACAGTGTGGCAAGTGCTAATGTAGGTGCAACTAAGGTCTAGGGAGAAGGCTTCAGAGGGAGAATAAGACTTCTGAGCAGATGTAGATCTTGTAATGCTCATCAGACGTGGGGCAGGGAAGGGTGTGTGTGCAGGCACAGATGCATTAGAGGGCCTGTGGGGTTCAGGGGCTGCAAGTTGCTTCGAGCAGCTGGAGGAGCATAGGCATGAAGGGTATACTGAGGCTAGGGTGAAGAGGCCTTTACCACACATGTGGATTTTAGCTTATGGGCTATGGGGAATCATTGAAGGGTTTTGAGCTTGGGAGTGTGGGGCTTTGGGGTCACTTGATCAGCTTTACTCCCTAAGAAGATCATCCTAGGGCAACAGAGGTTGGACTGAAGAGGCATGGCATGGGTGCAGAAAGCCAGCCAGGGAGCTTTTTGCAATGGTCCATGTTTAGAGGTGATGAAGGCAATGGAGAGGAGAGGATTTAAGAATTAAGTTTGGGAGGCACAACTGATAGGATTTTAACTGATGAGTGTGAGAATAGGATTTTAACTGATGAGTGAAAGAAGTGAGGGAAAGGAGGACATCAAAGAAAACAGGCATTTGCCTTGGGCTACCTCCCAGCCCCTCTTAACAGAAGTGGAATATAGGAGAAGGTTGAAGATGAAAGTTTGGTTTTACACATGTTTGAGTGTTTTCACTTGCCTGTGATCTCTAGGGGTTGTGATATCATTAGGCAACTGGAATTATGGGTCTGAAGCACAGGAAAGAGGACTGGGTTAGAGATGAGGGAGAAAAAGGGTATGGAGAGAAGATGAAATCTTAGAGCTGGTTACGGAAGTAGCGGAGACTGGAGCCAGAAGCACTCCTGCCCTTGGCCCTCCCCAGACCTGTGCATACTTCCCTCCCACTGCACTGCTCTCATCTCCCCCCTCACTGGGCTGTAGCCTCACCAGCCTTCTGCCAGTCCCTTAAAGAGACCAGGTTCTTGCCCATGCTCTTCTCCCTGCTCTTTCCCCAGGCCTGGCAGAAGGAAGCAGAAGGGTCCAATATCTCCATTTCTTTCTCTCCTCACTGAAGCTCTGAATGTCTGACACCATGTGTATTAACTTGTTTGTTCGTTCATTCAGCATTTGAGTGCATCCTGGGTGCCAGGCTCCATGCTAGGCTCTTGGGGTACCAAGGAAGAACTGAGTGGGTTTCCTTCCTACCTGCCTGTATCGACAGGTAAAGAGGGGGTGGGGTGGGCATCTTCCCTGCCAAGCAGGTAAGCTGTGACTGCAAGGTTGTCTAAGTGGTCCAATGCCTCCTTTCTGGAGGTGCCTGTGTGTCTCTCACAGCCAGCATTTACCAGAGGCCACGAGCTCCCAGCTGAAGGAGTCTGGCAAGGACAAAGGCAGCCCCATCTTTGCTCAAGTTCAGCTACTCAGCCAGCACATAGAGAAGCTGCTTACAACACTCTTGTGCTTTCTAAAGCTGCTGCCCCACTCCCTCTGCTGCAGGAAGGCCTGCCAGGCAGGTAATCTGTGCATACAAGGAGCAGCCCCAATTGCATCAGCTAAAGTAAGAGCTGCCCCACTGCCAAGGGATTTCCCCATCCTGCCATTCCCAACGGGAAGCAAAGGCAGGGTGCCCTGTTCATACTTGCATGGGCTGGGGGCAGGGCTTCTAGGGTGAGGGGGAGATGAATGGGGTTCACTCACCCCACCCCATGGGCATAGACTCCAGTGCTTGCCCCGTTTCAACTCAGAAAACCACCTGGACTCTAAGTTTCTTGAGATCAGGAAGCTTAGCCTGTTTACCTACGTAACCCTAGTGCCTAGCACAGTGCTTAGCTCATATCAGGGGCTCAATAAGTGTTTAAGTGGACATCACTGAACACCTGTACACATTTTATCTCTGCTCCACCCCTGAATTTCTCCTCCTGTTTTGGCTCACTGCCAATGACTCTTCCACCATGTTAGAGGCTTTCTCTCACCCACCAGGATATAACCTGAGACCCCTCTTTATTCACTATCCCCACCCCATTCTGTAGACACTGTCACTCTGGCACAAATATTACACCTAGAGGCAGATGTTGCCCTCAAAGGTGCCCATTCCACATCCTTCCAGGTAACCTGCTGACTGAGGTCTGCAGGGACCAAGGGACCAGAAGGCATCTTTACAGACCAGCCCTCTCCCCTGGCATGGACGCAAGCAACATCTCATTTCACCAGCCTCTTTCCTCAAAGAAGGGAACTTGAAACTTGACTTAATCATTTATCTCTCTGAGCCTCAGTTTCCTCATTTGTAAAATGAGAGAACTGAACCAGACAATCTAAGGTCAACAGTCAGTCAAACATACACTTAGCATTTTCTGTGTGCTGAGGTACATTCGTAGAGTTCTTTTAATTTTTCAAAGTCCTATCTACTTTTTTCCTAACAGCCCAGTGAAAACAGGCTTTAATTACCATTTTCATTTTACAGCTTCACCAAGAAGACAATAGCCCCTATCTCTGGGGTTCCACGTTCCTGTTCTGCCATGTGACTCCATTCTAGCGGCCTTCTATGCTGTTGTTGTGTGCTGTTGAGTCAGCCCTATAGGACTGTCATCTTTTCAGAAGCAGACTGCCACATCATTCTCCCGTGGAGCGGCTGGTGGTTCGAACCATCAATCTTTTCATTAGCAGCTGAACACTTAACCGCTGTGCTACCAGGGCTCCTTCAGCCTTCTATATTTGGTAGAAATGGGCTAAAGTAGTCAATGTTACTTTTTTCGTAGCTTGCAGGTGGGGCCTGATTCCTCCAGCTCAGATGAAGAATGGGCTTCTGAGGGACACTCACTGCTTCCACTGCCCCCTCCTCCTCCCCTCTCCTGCCACCAGGGGGCAGGACAGCAAAGCCACTAGCATCTCCTTTCAAAGGACTGGTTTCAGATCTTTTCAGGATTAAACCCAGGCCCTTTAACAAAGGCTGATTTGGCAACACTGACATTGAATCAGACATGAATCCTCACCAGTTCGGAAGGAGAAATAGCCCATCCTTATTGTAGGAATCAATTCCGAAGACACAAATATGGTTTTCCCCACCCGTAACTAAGCAGTTGACCCCATGTGTGTCAGAGTAGAACTGTGCTCCATAGGGTTTTCAATGGCAACTTTTCAGGAGTAGATTGCCAGGCCTTTCTTCTGACACTCTTCACTAAAATACCCAAAAACCTTCTTGCATTTAAGGGATGCCCTAGCACAGGGGTCGGTGGTGGAAAGCCCTGATGGCCCTGGATGGAGTATTTCGGCCTGGGCACTGCCGCATCTGGGCTGGCTGGGTGGAGGCAGGATCCTTTCAAGGACCACAGGCTCCCGCAGGTGGGTACAGGGAAAGCTGGGTGCACAGCCTGCACCAGAACCACTAGAATCGGAGGCCACATCTTTTTAAGTGGCCCCTTCCCTTCCCTGTCCTGGTGTGTGTCCTCCTCCCTGGAGGCATCAAAGCCTCTCTGGCCTCTCCATTCCCAGTGGATGTCTTTCAAAGAGGGCAGCTCCCCAGGTGGCTCTGTCCCCAATGCCACCTCACCTCGCCCACTGGGCCAAAAGGGCCAGGCCACTGGGGGAAAGGGCAGCGCTGACCCGGTGGAGGGCGCAGCCGGTGGGTCAATGACCAAAATACTACAAAGGCAAACATCTGCCTAGAGACAGCAGGGTCACCTGGGTCGCGTTAGGAAATCCTGGCACAGGTGAGGCAGGGCGAGGGTTTTCCAAGCTGATGCCCTGGATCTGGTCTCAGTCGGTGGGGTACAAGTGGGGGAAAGGTCGGCGGCGCTGGGGCCACAAGGCGGGCATGGGCTCAGGCCTGGGCGGGAGGAAGGGGAAGAACCTGGGGCTGTGGGGAGTGGAAAGCAGCAGGAAGACCTGGAGAAGCTTATGTGCAAAAGTGAAAGTAACATGCTTCCTTAGGTCTCAGCCAGCGGTGGGGGAGTTGCTTATGCAGGAATGATTCAGAGGGCACCCCCCCACCCCTTTCTAATCTTACCCAGGGGAAGTGCTTAGGGGTGGAGAGGCCTTAGGGAACTAGGTGATTTCTCACTATTTTGCCTCCTCTGCAATTCACAGCAACATGGTGGTGATCCACACCCAGGGCTGCCTCAGATGGTAAATGATATAGAACCAGGGGTGGAAAATGAATGTGAAGAATTGACTGTTCTCACCTCTGGATTCTGGGCACTCCCATCATGTCAGAAAATCGATCTCAGCTTTTCTCTGGAAACCAACCTGGAAGCCCCTCACCTCTTCACAATGTACTGTTGTCCCACAAGGCTTACAGACCAGGAAGAAGTTGCCATCGACTCACCAAAATCCCAACCCAGCAACAATTTAAACCTGTTCCAACTTGCCTTGTGGGTCCACAGTGAAACCAGATCTGCCTTCCATGGTCAGTCCCTTTACACGCTCCAGGCCTGGATGGAATACCAGCCCCTAACGCCTCCCCATCCGAACAGGGTACTCGGGAAAGCTGGGAAAATCCCCCAGCATGTACTACTGGCCTGAGGACGGTAAAGGGTGGAGTGGGGTGGGGAGGGAGCCGTTGGTTTGGTTTCTACTGTGAGTCTCCAAGAAGCTCCTTGTGAAGCTTTCAAGTTGAGCCAACAGGAACCTGAACTTGACTTCCATTTAACCTTGGGCAGGACTCTCCCAGTTGGAGCCTCCATATAAAGATGGGGTTGGACAGGCTGATTTCTAAGTTTTCTTCTTCCAAAGCCATTTCAAGAGCCTGGGGCACACAGCAGAACAAAAGAGCAGGAAGGCACTGCAGTGGTTAAGTGGCTGGGTTTTGCCCCATCATGTGGCAAATCTAACTACAGGTGAGAAAGAGAGAGACAGTTTTTCATTCAACAATTATGCCCTGAATTTCAAGCTAGTGACTTCCTCTCACGATTGAAAAAGAAACAGACTTTTCAAGGCTGGAGGAAAAACCTGCTGGCTGGAGTGAGAGGGAGAGACTACGCCTTCCTCGGGGATTTTCAAAGGTAGTTTGTACGTGATTTTCCATTAATGTGCTGACTTGAAAACTTAACACCCTTGTAGGAGGGGATCTAGTGTGTGAGTACCCCCCAGGAGGCTCTGTGTGAGGTGGAGAGCTAGAAGAGCCACTAACATTTGTGAGAGACTCGTAGCCTGGGCAGAGGGTTAGATGAGGGACAGCTTCTCTTCTAGACCAGTCTGGGCCCTGCAGGGCTCAGAGTCCCTCAGAAGTGCCTTGGGGGAACAATCAGGGGCAGGAGCAGAGAGACCTGGGGCTCCCCCACCCCTGATTCCACCCAAGCAGCTAGGCTTTTGTTTTCTGTACTCAGTTTTGTGTTGGTTTCTCTTGAGGAAGATCGCAGAAGCCCTCTACCAACTAAGATGCCAGGGAACAGCTCCCAAGACTGGGCACTCAAATCATGTCAGGAAATCTCTAGATGAGAGTTCTTTATTTCTCCCCACCATCCCGTCCCCTCCTGACTGTTGTTTTTCAATCTCACCTGAGAAACAGAAAGATGGTTCTTGGGGTCTTGGCCCTGTTTGCCTTGGGGGCCCGGCGCTCCAGATGTGGCTCGAGGGCCTCCAGCAGCCCTGGGTGCAACTTCTCCGCCTCATCGAAGATAAAGAGGGTCTGGCGGCAGCGTTGCTGCGTCTCCTGGATCTGGCTGGTCAGCTGCTCCTGCACAGGATACAGGGAGCTGCTGGGAGCAGTGGGAGGTACAGCCTGCTCCAGCCCCAAGCGCCCTGGTAAAAGCATGGGTTTCTCCCCAGCACCTGAAGTGGATTACCTAGGGTTGGGTTCCACCCGAGCCACCAAGTCCAAACCTCCAGGGCTGGGGCTAGGACATGGCATTTTAAAAAGCTTCCCAGATGATTCTTATGCACCCTGAGGTTTGGAAGCCAAACAAGGTGGAGCTGGCCTGGGTAGACGGAGAGCCCTGGAATGCAGTGGTGAGAAGCCCTGCCTGCCCTTGGAGACAGGCCCCAGCTCTAGCCCCACTCCCTCCCCTCCAGGATGAGGCCCTTCACCTCAGGGGTGGGAGTCAGGCTCTAATACTGGGATGACAGGCAGAAGCCAGGCTCAAGTGCCCAGAGGTAGCCATAGTCCCCTGCTCTGAACATCTAGGAGCAGTGTCCACTGGCACCCAGACCGGACCGAGATGCCAGTGGAGCAAGTCTGAGGTGGGCCTCTCCAGGGTCCACCCAACCCATAACTGGGGTCTTCCACAGGGGGCTATGTTGGGCTCCCTAACCCAAGCAAGATAACAAGCCCTGAAATGAAAAAAAACTTCTTTGCAGGGTTCATCAGGGGAACCGGACAAAGAAGATACTACTGGGGGCCAGCTCCCACCCCAGGGGTGGCGGTTTCACAGAGCATGCACCCAGTGTCCATCTCTAGCCTCCCTGGACCCTGACTTCAGCCCCTAGTCACCCAAGTGAGTGTAGGGGTGTGTGAGGGTGAGAGAAGTGAGTGTAGGGGTGTGTGAGGGTGAAAGAGAGCATCTATGTGTCCATTTCCTCAGTGGGGAAGCTGGGACCCACAGCGGTTTTTGCCACAGTCGAGGCCAGATAGCTCCTCCGAGGAAGGTGTAGCTGACTGGCTGCTGGCCCCTAGGATAGCTGGGGTTCAGGACAGCTCACCCCTCTTTGGCCCCCTAAGGCCAGAGTGACACTTCCAGGAGACCTGGGCAATCTCTGTCTGCACAGACTTACACAATCTTCCCAGGTTAACACTCCAAATACTATTAGGACTGAAAGCCAGGTTAGGTGCAGTCGCCTCTGCCATGCTGCACGGGGTTTTGTTCATCTCCAGGCTGCTTTTAAACATTACATGTCTGAATTAGAAAAAACTCAAAATGTGGGCAGCTAAGAAAATTTTTGTCCATCTACTTGCTGGCATATAATGAGCCATTATGGGAAGACATGAGGAATCACTTATAATGTGCCACTTTTTTTTTCCTTAAAACTTCCCTTAAAGTTCCTTATGCAACTTTCTGTCGAATATAATTGCAATGATATAAAATTACATAAGCAGAGGGGAAGGTCTGGAAGGAAGGACACCAAAATGCTAACTGTGCTTGTGTCCATGTGGGGAGATTATGATAAAGTTTTTGCTTTTCTCTGATCCACATTTCCTGCAAAGCGTATTTCTTTTATAACGGAAAAATTAACCAATGGATTCTGTTTAAGCTCAGTGTCTTGGCCCCTGTGTGTGGCTGGTAATGAGACAGAACTTGGGACCAGAGGTGCTGGGAACTTCAGTCTTTCCTCCAGATGCTCAGGGTCTCATCTGTGTGGAGTGGGTGGAATGGATGTTGCCGTCAGAGGTTCTGTTGCAGCAGCTGCCTCCCTCACAACACACTCACCACCCAGGCTTCTCTAGCGCCCACCTCCTCATAAGAAAGGGCTGCTGTCAGTGCCTCCCACACAGCCCAGACGCCTGCTTGGACTGTGGAAGCCTCATTTCAGCCCAGACCCATCTGGCAAAACTGCCTGCCTGGCCTCACCTTGTACATGTCCACATACTTGGGGTGAGGAAAATGGAACATGGCGATGAACACTTGGACACAGTTGCTCCTTAGCCCGTCCCGGTACAGGTTCTCCGCCAGCATCCGTGCCACGAAGTTCTTGCCAGTGCCAGACCAGCCGTGGAACGACAGGGTCAGGGCCTTGTCTGGCTGGCGCGTCTCTACGTAGCCCCTCACTGCTCTCAGGACCAGCTCCCGGGCCAAATGCTGGCCATGCAACCGCACACTCAGGTCTGACTTGAGGCCTAACACAAGAAAAGAGGAGGTCACGGTGAGGGGCACCCACAGGCACAATCCCCACCAGGATCAGTGACAGCCAAGAGACTATCCCTGCAGGTCTCTGAGCGGGGCCAGTTATTCACTGTGTTGGGCCTCAAGACAAGAGGCCAGAGGGCCAACCTTACAGTAGAAAGGACTCAAGGGTTATTTTCTGTAAAATCTGAGAAATCAAGATTGAAATTAGGGAATGGAGTCACCCTTCCTGCAGATGCTGAAGACACCCCAGAATGGCTGCTGAGTCCTGTCTGGAGAAGGAACCCCCTGCCCCGCCCATACCTGCAAGGTTCCTCCCACCCCTTAGTTTCAGGACTCCCTAAATTTTTTATGGAGAAGTCCTCATTTTATCTGTTCAGTTGGGCAAACACTTGTTGGGAGCAGCTACCATGCGTAAAGCCCTCAGCTAGGCTTCCTTCCTCACAGCTGTGAGGCTGCAGGGCTTGAGACAGTGGTACTGGGAGTCATGGTGGAGATGGGGAGGGCATGCTGCCCGCTATGGACAAGGCACTGCCCTGCTGAGTTCAGGGTCGACTATATATGTAACCTTGAACCAGGCCAGAGGGGGTATATGGGAGCCTTGTCAGGTCTCCTGTCTTTGTTGTGCTCACTGTCCCACCTAGACACTTAATTCTTCCAAAGCAGTAGTAACATGGAAGTGAAACTTAACATTTGTGCTGTCTTCCCTGTACTCAGCACAGGGCTAAGTGTTTATATTTCATCTTCCCAATAATTCTGCAAGTTAGGTATTATTATACCCATTTAAAGCTGAGGGAACGGGGATGGGGGGAATAACAGAAAATACAGAGCGAATTGTTGAAGATTTGTTGGCAGAAAACTTCCCTGATATCGTGAAAGATGAGAAGATATCTATCCAATAAGCTAATGGAACCCCACACAGGGTAGATCCCAAAAGAAAGTCACCAAGACATATTATAATCAAACTTGCCAAAACCAAAGATAAAGAGAGAATTTTAAGAGCAGCTAGGGATGAAAGAAAAGTCATCTACAAAGGAGAGTCAGTAAGAATAAGCTCGGACTACTTAGCAGAAACCATGCAGGCAAGAAGGCAGTGGGATGACATATATAAAGCCTTGAAGGAAAAAAAATCGCCAGCAAAGAATTATATACCGAGCAAAACTGTCTCTCAAATAGATGGTGAAATTAGGACATTTCTAGATGTCATGGATTGAATTATGTCCCCCCAAATTGTGTCAACTTGGTTAGACCATGATTCCCAGTATTGTGTGGTTGTTCTCCATTTTGTGATTTTTTTGTATGTGTTATGAATCATTATATCTGCCTGTGGTTAAAGAGGATTAGGGTGGGATGTAACACCCTTGCTCAGGTCACATCCCTGATCCAATGTAAAGGGAGTTTTCCTGGGGTGTGGCCTGCACCACCTTTTATCTTACAAGAGATAAAAGGAAAGGGAGGCAAGCAGAGAGCTGGGACCTCATACCACCAAGAAAGCAGTGCCAGGAGCAGAGTGCATCCTTTGGACCCAGGGTTCCTGCAAGAAGAAGCTCCTAGTCCAGGGGAAGACTGATGAGAAGGACCTTCCTCCAGAGCCGATAGAGAAGAAAGCCTTTCCCTGGAGCTGATGCCCTGAATTTGGACTTCTAGCCTACTAGACAGAGAGAAAATAAGTTTCTCTTTCTTAAAGACATCCGCTTGTGGTATTTCTGTTATAGCAACACTAGATGCCTAAGACACCAGATAAACACAAGTTGAGGGAATTTGTAAAAACCAAACCGAAATTACAAGAAATACTAAAAGGGAGTCCTCCAGTTAGAAAATCAATAACATCAGATAACAACACAAAACTAGAACACAGGACAGAACAACCAAATATCAACCCAGATACGGAGGTCGCAAAAATAAAGCAAAGCTAAAACACTGAAAATAGGGAAACAGAGATGTCAATATGTAAAAGATGACAATATTAAAACAAAAAAGAGGGACTAAATAATGTAGTCATAGAACTTTCATATGGAGAGGAAGTCAAGGCAATATCAAGAAATAAAAAATTGGTTTAAACTTAGAAAAACAGATAAATATTAAGGTAACCACAAAGGAAACTAACAATCCAACACATCAAAATAAAAAACAAGGAAAACACAAAGACTCAGCAAATACAAAATCAACAATGAAAAAGATGAAAAGAAAATCCATAAAGAAAAATGACTCAGCACAGAAAATAAAGGGGAACAAAGGAACTGTCAATAATACACACACAAAAAAGACATCAAAATGACAGCACTAAACTCATACCTATCAATAATTACGCTGAATGTAAATGGACTAAATGCACCAATCAAGAGACAGAGAGTGGCTGATTGGATAAAAAAACACAATCTGTCTATATGCTGCCTATAAGAGACACACTTTAGACTCAAAGACACAAACAAACTAAAACTCAAAGTATGGAAAAAATACATCAAGCAAACAACAGTCAAAAAAGAGCAGTAGTGGCAATATTAATCTCTGACAAAAGAAACTTTAAAGCAAAATCCACCACAAAGGATAAGGAAGGACACTGTATAATGATTAAAGGTTAAATACATCAGGAGGACATAACCATAATAAATATTTACGCACCCAAAGACAGGGCTCCAAAATAAATAAAACAAACTCCAACAGCATTGAAAAGAGAGATAGACGGCTCCATAATAATAGTAGCAGACTTCAATATAAACCACTTTCGGTTAAGGACAGAACATCAAGAAAGAAGTTCAATAAAGACAGGGAAGATCTGAATGCCACAATCAACCAACTTGATCTCATAGACAGATACAGAACACTCCACCCAACAGCAACCAAGTATACTTTTCTTTTCCAACACAGCATATGGAACATTCTTCAGGACAGACCACATATTAGGCCACCTTAACAGAATCTAAAACATTGAAATATTACAAAGCCATTTTTTCTGACCGTAAACCATGAAAGTAGAAATCAATAACAGAAAAAGCAAGGAAAAAAAATCAAAACATGGGAACTGAACAACACTTTGCTCAAAAACTATTGGGTTATAGAAGAAATCAAGGACGGAATAAAGAAATTCACATAATCAAATGAAAATGAAAACACATTCTACCAGAACCTTTGGGACACAGCAAAAGCAGTGCTCAGAGGTCAATTTATAGCAGTAAATGCACACATCCAAAAAGAAGAAAGGGCCAAAATCAAAACATTAACCCTACAACATGAACGAATAGAAAGAGAGCAGCAAAAGAAGCCCTCAGGAACCAGAAGAAAGGAAATAATAAAAATTAGAGCACAGTTAAATGAAATAGAGAATAGAAAAACAATTGAAAGCATTAACAAGACCAAAAGCTGGTTCTTTGAAAAGATCAACAAAATTGATAAACCATTGTCCAAACTGACAAAAGAAAAACAAGAGAGGAGGCAAATAACCTGAATATGAAATGAAATGGGTGATATGACAACAGACCAAACTGAAATTAAAAGAATCATAACAGAATACTATGAAAAATTGTACTCCAACAAATTTGAAAACCTACCTACCTAAACTAACACAAACAGAGGTAGAACAACTAAATAAACCTATAACAAAAGAAGAGATTAAAGAAGTGATTTAAAAACTCCCAACCAAAAAAAGCCCTGGCCCTGACGGCTTCACTGGAGAATTCTACCAAACTTTCAGAGAAGAGTTAACACCACTACTACTAAAGTATTTCAGAGCATAGAAAAGGATGGAATACTCCCAAACTCATTCTATGAAGTCGGCATAACTCTGATATCAAAACTAGGTAAAGACACCACAAAAAAAGAAAATTACAGACCAATATCCCTCATGAACATAGATGCAAAAATCCTCAACGAAATTCTAGCCAATAGAATTCAACAATACATCAAAAAAATAATTCACCATGACCAAGTGGGATTTATAATAGGTATGTAGGGATGGTTCAACATTAGAAAAATAGTCAATGTAATCCATCACATAAATAAAACAAAAGATAAGAACCACATGATCTTATCAATTGATGCAGAAAAGGCATTTGACAAAGTCCAACACCCATTCATGATAAAAACTCTCAACAAAATAGGAATAGAAGGGAAATTCCGCGACATAATAAAGGGCATTTATACAAAGCCAATAGCCAACATCATCCTAAATGGAGACAGTCTGAGAGCATTCCCCTTGAAAATGGGAACCAGACAAGGATGTCCTTTATCACCACTCTTCTTCAACATTGTGCTGGAGGTCCTAGCCAGAGCAATTAGGCTAGGAAAAGAAATAAATGGCATCCAAATTGGTAGGGAAGAAGTAAAAGTATCCCTATTTGCAGATGATATGATCTTATACACAGAAATCCCCAAAGGATCCACAAGAAAACTACTGGAACTAATAGAAGATTTCAGCAAAGTATCAGGATACAAGATAAACATACAAAAATCAGTTGGATTCCTCTACACCAACAAAGAGAACCTCAAAGAGGAAATCATCATATCAATACCATTTACAATAGCCTCCAAGAATATAAAATACATAGGAATAAATCTAACCAGAGACGTAAAAGACCTATACAATGAAAACTATGAGACAGTACTGCAAGAAACCAAAAGAGACCTGCATAAGCGAAAAAACATACCTTGCTCATGGATAGGTAGACTCAATACCTTGCTCGTGGATAGGTAGACTCAACATTGTGAAAATGTCAATTCTACCCAGATTGATCTAAAGATACAATGCAATCCTGATCCAAATTCCATCTGCATTTTTTAATGAGATGGAGAAATAAATCACCGACTTCATATGGAAAGGGGAGAGGCCCCGAATAACTAAAGCATTACTCAAGAAGAACAAAGTGGGAGGCCTCACGCTACCTGATTTTAGAACCTATTACACCGCCACAGTAGTCAAAACAGCCTGGTACTGGTACAACAACAGATACATAGACCAATGGAACAGAATTGAGAATCCAGACATAAATTCATCCACTATGAGCC